ATTTTAATGACTCGACTCTCCTGCCCAGCAGCAGGGCTTTTAATTCAGAAATTTTTGATCGTAAGAAAACAACGCCCTAAAACGGTGAAAATTCAAAATGAAATGAAATTCCAACAGTTTTTGGTGGCAGGCGAAAAACCATTTTCCAATAATCTAAATTTAGATGAAATGAAACACATTTCAAATTTTCATGAAAAATGTCGGACGGGAGTGAAAGAGAAAAAATTTCTGTATCCGAGAAATGCCGAGAAACACATTCGGCAAACTATATATACACGTTTCTATGCATATATATAGATAGATATATATATATATATATAGATACATATATCGGCCATATAAACATTCACGTTGCGGGTGTAGGTAATTTGATTTTGGTCTGCTCTTTTCTGGCTTTTATCTCACAGGTTTTCACGATGCACAAGATACAAACTTGGATGCGTATCTGACAGATATATATACACACCTTGGGCTGCAGTAATAGCGAACACTTTTTCTATAATTATAACGCCCAGGTGTGTTGTGGGCCCCACGAACGAAAATTTTTAGAAAACAAAAACAAGGAATTTATCATATCAAGAGGCTTTTGATGACTGTTTGCCGTCCTCGGCCCAGGTAGGTAAACAAACGTCATGCGGAAGATGTGATATCTGCGAGACCAAAAGACAAAAAAAAAACAAAAATGATATCTAAGAGTGCGATATAGTACGTGCAGTTATGCTTGGTCGCCGGTAATCCGAGATCTGAGATCGGAGAGTTTGCTCTGGCCTCTTGAAGTCTTGCCCGTCATTTATATATATACTATATATATATATATATATATTCACACAGTCTAGGCACACTTCAACTGTGCAAAATGCGACGACTATGAATAGCGGAGAGCCGAACAACAGATACAGATACGGCTGAGATAGAGATACAGATTCGTATTCGGAATCAGATTCGGGCGAAGAAACGTGCTCCAGCGGCGTGTGTCATAAAGCTATAGCTATAGCTACAGCTATCTAACAGATACAATTGCTGGCGGCCAAAACTCATTCTTCTTTTTGTTTCGTTTTGGGGCGTGAGTCAGATACAAAAAACAAACACAACACACACTCGTCGGTATAACAACAAAAATTTATGTCAGCAGTGCCAAAAGCGTTGAACGAATGAAGACGATAAAAAAAAGGCGGCAAATAAACAGAAGGAATAGTATATACAAATATATATATATATATATTTACAGTATGTTTCGAGAGTATATATATATCGATTAACTTCAATTTAAAGAGCAGAAACATAATTGTAAGGTAAGCTTTTGAACTATTTATTTGTCTTATTTTTCACTCTTATATTTCTTATAAATAATATTAAAGCAAGCTCTATTAAACCCATCTAAACCACAAATTTCATAATTTATTTAATGCACAGCTTTAATTTTGCATAAATCTTTTGTGTATTCAACTTTTTTTTTTGCTTTTCAGGAAGAAGTTCAAGCTAGAAATCCAGAATGAAATGCAAATCATAAATTGCCACACAAATTCTAAGCAAATTGATTCTGTTTTATTTATCACCAAATCGTATTAAATTCCTTAATTTTTTTATATTATTTGACTTGCATTTAGAGCTGTGAAACGCACAGTAAACAAATAGATGTTTCCACACAGACAGCTACAGCTATTCAAATGTAATCGCAGGCTATGCATTTCAAGTGAACGGGCGGTGAACGGGCGAGCGCCCAACAGGTAGCCAACGGATGATTGCGAGCAGAACCCCACAAGCCCAAAACCTGAAGCAAACATTGCTGCACACCCGCAATAATAAAAACAAAAAACACAAAAATAAAAATAAAGAAAGAAAAAAGATAACAAAAAACAGCAACCGCAACCTCAAAAAGCGATGTTAGCGATGTTGCTTGAGGTAAGGCAGGAACCTAATTAGATCTCTCGCAATATCTCTGTCAGACCCCAAGAATATGTGCAGGTATATTTCAAAAATATTTTAAGCTACTTAGCATTTAGTTTTTTTCTGTTTAATAACAAACGCATCAGAAGTAAGCAATTTGTTAGGCTGTCCGCTGAGAGATTGAAATAAAATTGCAAAGCTTTGAATCGAATAAAATTTAATAGCAAATTTGATGGGAGATTAAAAATAAATCAAGCTGATTTAAATTTGAATGTTAAATTATTTAAAATCAATTTGTTTGTATTTTTTACACTTCTCTTCAAATCTCATTTTACGTTATTCCTGGAGTTTGAACTAAAACGAGATCTAATGAATGAATGAATATAAAATTTGATTAAAAGAACCAACGAAATGGGGTATAAAATTAAAGTCATGACAATGGGGATAATAAATGTTGTACCCTCTGGGAAAAGGGTAAAACATAAACTCTTTATTTCTGTGGCACCAAACCAACAACCGCATGTGAATGTTGAGTTTTGGCCCGCATGTCAAGCTAACGAAAACAAAAACATAACCCAGCGACGACGACAGCAATTGAAAAGAGAAAGTTGCAAAATCAGAAGAAAAAAAACAACACAAAAACTTCTAGCAAGTTGAAAAGTTGAAAGCCGTTAGCGGTCTGCATTTGGGGATATATATATAGAGAGCCACTATATAGTGGACAGCGGTCGCTTCGGGTTCCCAGGTCCCAAAAACTAAAAATCCCAAATCCAGTCCAGCTAGACCGACACCCTCCCACTAAGCTGATAAGCCAACGAGGTGGGTTCGAAATCTCAGGTTTGTTTTGTATTTATTTTTTCTCTTCCTCGAAATTTGTTTTTGTTTTTTTTTTAAGTCTGGTGGAACGAGTTTTACAAATTGTCAACGCTTTGCTTTTAGCAAATACAATTTGTAGACAGGCAAACTAGTTTGCAGCTATGCCAGAAACGAAACCAAAACAAGAATAAATGCTTTTGGGGCGAGTTTTCCGACTATACGATACCTGGTAATCAATAATCTGATTGGTCTAGATAAGGTCAAAGAGTTCTTGGTTATTTATCTTAATGAGTGAAAAGATCAAGATCTTGCATAACTAAATTAACAGAGGTAATTAAAGGAGTTATTAATGGTTTTTAATTATATGAACAAATTCTTAAGTCGAACCTCCCTTGAGCTTATAAAAATCCAAGAATATTAAAAATTTCTTTGTGTCTCACCTATAAAAAGCATTGTAAGATTTAGTATTCATTTTCATCTGTTTATTCTGTGTATTTCTAAATTAATGATAAATTGATTTTTTTTTAAAGTAACCAGGCCTAAACGCACATACCCTGGCTATCTAGCGGTACCTAACAATCCGCAAATACCGCACCACAAAATATCTGAATCTTTGTATCTGTGCAACATAATTTTGTCATTACGAGGCGACACACACACACCCTCGTGACCGGCCTGCATATGGGCAACAGATGTTGGGCAAATACAGAAATGAGAGCTGCGATATACGAGATACAAGATACGAGATGCGACCAGGTAGTGCCACGCCAACGCCTCTTTCCCGCCCCGAAAGTTGACTTTTGGTTTTGGTTTGTCTTGAAAAGAGTGTTTGCTTGGGTTTCTTATACTCTTTTTGTTGTCATTTTTTTTTTTTTTTATTTTCAAACGGGGCGTGGGCAGCGGCGGTAATTCATGCATCTTTGAGTTAAGTTTGCTACACTTTTCATGCAGAGAAAGCAAATTATATCAGTTATAGGAATTATTTTCTTTTTTTTTAGAGCATATTCTTGATAATCGGTATGGAATATAGACTATTTCAATGCAGATAACTGGCCTAAGCTCATATGTAAAATCATGTCATTCATTTCGTATCGCTTTTATGTTTCTTTCTGTGTGGGGGTTTTCCCCCCTGGGGTTTTGAGTCTCCAGTTCCCCTCTCAGAATTTTGTGTACGAATGGCCGAGTCAACAGAGAATTCATAATAAGAACAACAAAGGCTGCACAGGGCAGGCAGTCAAGTGTGGGGCCAAAAACACAAAAGGAGAGAGAGAGCGAAGTAGTAGTAGTGTGCGCTCGCGAAGAGGCGCACAAAAAGGAAGTAACTAAAAATAACAAACATCTCGTTTAGGTTTTGTGTTCCTCCTTTATAAGGTGGAATGAACTCAGAACCCGCAATGGAGAAGAGACCGAAAAGGAGACGACGAGGAGACAAACCAGACACGCCGATTTCCATGCCCCAAAACTGATTGAACCACAGTGATCACTCGTTTGAAGATCTCCCATAACTTCTACATTTGCATGAATTTTCAAAATGAAAATGAAATCACCACCTAATTTAAACATCATCAATCGTAAAGTCTGTTCAATTTTCCCTAGGAAATGTGTTCTTCCAAATACCTGCCATCTTTGTAATGCCATGTTTACAATAAATCTCACAAGATTCCAGGAATTAAAACGCATTTAAATTGTTTTTTCAACGATAAAAATGTTATAAATCAAAAAGGAATAATTTCATTGATCTGTTTATTGTTCTTTTCTAGGCCTTATTATAAATCTAATCTCTTTGAAACCCAACAAGATTTTCAGTACTTGAAGGTTTTTTTTTAATTTTAAAGATTCCCGGAAGAATCCTTTTTTTGCTTTGTATTTTTTTGATTCTAGGAAACAAAATTGTTGCTCTCAGCCATAAATGCAACTTTAAGTTTTTTCATGCAAAGTTTTATATTTTTGATTTAACTTTTAATTTCAACAATTGTCGAAATACATAAACGATCTCTTTATATCCTTTTTAAATACTCGTTAGCAGCATATTTAACCAAAGCAAGATTTCCTATTATTTATTTTTTTTTTTTATTATTAAATTGAATACTAAAAAAATATTTCCTAGTATCTGATGATTCCTTGTAAAACTATTTTCCAGTACACATTGAAATAAAGGGACTTTTAACATACAAAATTAGATATTAAGGTTTTCCCCAGATCTGGGATCGTTTTAGCTGATGAAGTCACTAACAAAAATAATTCCCTAGTTACTATGACTTTCGAGGATGACTTGGGGGAATCGCCTGATGACTTACCTTCGTCCAGGAGCCTTTCAACATGAGTAAAAACATTGGGGAAGGCGGCCAGCTGCTTGCGATCCTTGAGCAACTGGGCCAAATAATCGGCGATGCTCTGTGTGCTCTGCTGCTGCTGCTGCGGGGTCAAATGCTGCGGGGCCATGGGGACCACCACCTGCGGCGCCTGCTGCTGTTGCTGCGCCAGGGCTTGAGCGTGAGCCTGATGCTGCTGCGCCACCGCAACAACGGCTGCAGCGGCTGCTTGTTGCTCCAAGTGTTGGTGCAGTTGCTGTTGCACAACGGTTTTGCTTTCACAGACACTCATTTTTGCGTATGTGTGTATGTTTTTTTTTGTGGACTTTTCTTGTTATGTTCTCGACGAGATTCTGGTTTACAACTTTCAACTTTCTTTGGGGTCTCTACTTTCTTTACTTATTGCACACTTTTTTGTTTCTTTATTTTTTTGTTGCTATTTTTAACACGTTTCTGTGGGAGTTGGGAAATTCATTAAGTTTCGTACTCGAGCAATATTGAAAACGGAAAACGAAATGAAAACAACTCCGCCCAAAAGTATTTTTTACGATCTGCAGCAACAACAACGCAGCGCGAGAGCGCCAGCAAGCGAGAGAGCGCAGCAAGTTGAAAGCAAAGACAGAAAATTCCTCGGCGATCTCTCACTCACACACGGACAATAAACAGTAAAACTGTATATGCGACGGAGATGAATGAAAGCAGAATGTCAAAATAGCTGCCTCTCTCTCCCTCTCAGTCACTCATTTGGCTGCTGCAACAGCAAATACAACAAAAATGTGTATTTAAATATTTTTTATATGCTAATTGTAAAATTTTTAGGCTAAAAAAGGATAAATTCCTTTGCCTGGATATGCAACGAATGGACAAACCCACTAAAACAAACTTAAAACTCAGAGAATTTCTCAGAAATATGCACAGTTGCTGATTATGTATTTGTTGTTGCTGCTAGATGGCTTTTGGCGTTTATTCCTCGTTTCGTTTTTTTTCTTTGATTTTCGTTGAAACACACTTCTCTTCTCGAAGGATTCCTTTTTTGTTTATTTGATAGATTTTATTCGAGTCGGAATAACAAACGGATCTCGGGACTACGGGACGATTATTTTTACCAGTGAACGAACCGCGCGCAAAGAAGAGAAGAAATTGAATGCGAAGCGAAGAGCATAAAACATCGTAAGTTGAGATCAGGGCTGGCTACCGTAAGGTGGTGTTTTCGGTGAGCACTCGCCTCTCCGCTCATAAGATTCGACTCGTTTGTTGAAAATAATTATAATTGACATTATTTTGAAAATTATATTTAAAACAAACTAAAAATAGTCCGATTGACGAAAATTATTTAGGTGCACTTTTCTTAATATTGATCTTAAAAAACCAATTTATTTCAAATTTGTGACGTCACTCTTGCTCTGAATTGGTTCTCTCGCCACCATAGTACCAGCATGCGAGATCACTCACCAGCGTTGCCACTGCGCACAAACAGAGTTGCACAGCTGGTTAACTTATTTCACATATTTTGCCCTTTAATGTGAATATTTAAGTATATAAATGGCAAAACCTGCCCAAAGCAGCTAAAAACGAAAATGGGTGAACAAATTACGGCTTTAATCTTCACGATTGGCTATTTAATTAACCACTAGTACGTAGCGTTGCCACCTGGCAACTGGGTGGGCCTCTATTTGGCGCGTTGGCGTTGAATTTGAATTAATTAAGACAACCAGCAGAGAAGGCTTTAATTGCGCACGGAAATTGCTGGCAGATTAGAACCAAGCGGCATTTTGTTTTGTCGGACATATATGCGGGGGCTACCATCTGGGCCCCAAGCCCATAATACCATTCAAATGAGACCCCCAAACCCGTATTGGCCAAATGTTGGTGTTAACTTGGTTAACTCCGCTGCAAAATGTATGTGGGAAAATTGGCATTCGCGAGCGTTTCGATGGACGCACCATATAAGCGACCCTAGACCGGCGACAACTTTTACTTTCCAGCGCAAAATACACTTTTCGCTGGCTTCCGTGTATATTGGTGTATTTCACATAAACACGACACAGGGAAAACACTTTCGCTATTTAGATAAGATTTTATTAAGTTTTAAAAGATTTAATGAAGTTTTTAAAGAAAACTGAAACTAAACTCATAAATTAATCTTCTAAAATAAAACAATAATTGCCACACATTTTATTACCATAAATTGAAGAAGTACATAAAGTTTGGGTAGTTGCTTTCACAATCATTTAAAAGTGTTTTAATAATAATAATGAAACCATAACAATATATTTTTTATCTATAATATAAAGTAAGGTGAATTGATTTTATAGATGGAAAGCTAAATCATTTAAAAATCGTTCTAAAAATATACCCCAGAAAACCACATCTTCGGGGACAATTATTTGCAGTGCAGCAGCACACCCGCATGCACTTAAATGAGACGTGAAAGTTTGGAGTGGACAAAGACATGGATGGACATTGGATTGGCCATTCCAATGGAAAGCAGCGCCCACCACCGGACCTCACCTGGCCAAGTTTCAGAGCCTGGCCACAAGTCCACAACCAAATTGGTGTGCACTTGGCTCAAACCGATCGTATTCGTCTGTGTGTGGGCCGACATTATATTATACGGCCCCATTTATACAGTTTTACGGCCATTGAAATATGTGTCAATTTGCGTGGCGATTGAGACATTGTATGCTTATGGATTTCCGATTCAAATCTCTGGGGCAAAGACCAAAGACCATGGCCCTTTCCAATCCTCACACCCACGTTGCCAAGTATTTCTCTTTGGACATCTGGTCAAATCCAAACTGCCAAGTTTTCCGTGGGCCGTTAATCTCTTTAGGGCTTTAAAAAATTTCCATTTTTTTAATCTTGGTCTTATGTGGTGTTTCGCTTTGTATGTAGGTCTTTTTAGGTAGCACTTTCGGATTTGGAAAACCGAAATCCACGCAAAACAAAAGTTTTCTAGCAGCTGTAAAACGAGGCGAGGAAAATGCTTTAAATGGCAAAACAGTGGTCTTATTTCAAGCTGGCAAGTAGTGAAAACTGAAAGATTTTGTTGTATTATTTTTCCAAAAGTAGGTGATGAATATTTATTTTATTTTGATATTTAATTATAGAATTAAATTGGAATTCAAAACAAATTTTAATTCTATATTTTGAGATCATTTTTAGTATTAAGTAAATACATTTTCCTAAAATATCCACAGTTTTTGCATTGCCTTCGAGGGTAGTGAGTTATTAGACTTTATTTGGCTTTTGACTGAAAAATATTGCATCTGATATGCACTTCAATTGTTTGACCAATTCACCTAGCTTATAAGGAAGTGGCTCCATCGATTGACAAACCGCCAGGCGGAGTTAACACTCAGAGCCGAACGGGGATCCTTTTTTGTCCAATGCACGTTTGTGTCAAATGCAAATTTGGCCAAGACATTTAACGGCTTTGTGCATTAAACGACGATTAAACATTCTTTTTTTTTTTTTACTTAATTTACTGCCGACACAGAAATCTCTGGTGTGAATGTATGTGAGAGAGTGTAATTAGCAATATGTTGGCCAAAAAGCCATTAACCAGTTTTCAGTTGTTTCCATTACGCATGACACGCGGTCGTGTGGGCGCCTCCGGTTTTCCAACTTTTGAGTTTCTTAGTTTTTGGGGTACACAAAGAAGCCGAGCTGCAACACCCACACATATGTATGTGCATATACTGATGTAGTAAGTATCTGTCAGATACATTCGCTCACATGTGCAGACCGATCAGCCAACCAAGCCGTCCAAAGAGGTTTCTTTTGACCAGAAATCTGATAGTTTAACTTTCAAAAAAGCATCCAGAGGTCTTAAAAATAATAATGATCTATATTTTTTTTTTTTGCTTTTTAAATAGTTTTCAAATTTACAAAGATATCTATTATTTCATATCATATCATTCACATAACATTTTTTAATCACAAAAAACTAAAACAGTTTTCATATTTTAAATAATTTAAGAGTATAACTTTTGTCGCCTGTACGAATGCAGTTTCTATGTCACATGCCGCGTCCCACAGGTGGAACCACTCCACCTATCCCCCACCCTTGTTTTTCGTTTTCCAAATCCATTCATAAAGTTTCCACTTTGCATATTGTGCTCGACCAGCTGATTGGATCCAACAAGCCGCAGACTAAGCAAAACTAAGCTAACCACGATCCGCAAACTGCGCATGAATGGGTAAACTCATTCGCGTTGGCTTTTTCATTCACAGAAACGTCGTTAGTTTGGCTCTTAGAAACAAGTGCTAGAGTGCCACGAGGATGGGGGCGTGTGTGTGTGTGTGGGTGGGCTTATGGCGTTGTGGTCTTCAATATTCGTCACGCCCACACGCCCCCTACCACATCTAATTTGCTGATAAATTTCGATGGCTGCCGTGCGCTGCGCACTTACAGTCTAACGTCTATAACTTGAATCATAGTTTTGTCTATAATCAAGCAATATTTGTAGTAGTTATGAATTAATGAAATAATTGCCTTTTATAATGTAATCTTTAATATAAGTTTAATTTCTTAAGATGTGTGTTTTAAAAACCTTCAAAGAAAATACCTTGAAACTAAGGTGACCTGTAATTGATTAACTATATTTCGGTCATGTGGGTGATGGAATCTCTAAGAGGAAGGCGGGTTGTGGCAAGTTTTATTGGAAAATTGTTTTTGGGGACCAATGCTGTATCAATTGGCAAATGCATGTGGAGTGGGCGCACGTAAGTCAGCAATTGATTAAGCGTCCGATTATCGATTAGTTGGGCCAACAGCGCGCTTTGGCACAGTTTTAGAGGAACTGGGCGAGCGTGGGCCATAAACTGGGACAATTTAGCGGGCAAAAAACGAAATAAAAAGAGCGATGGGCCCCAAAAATGGGGAGGCGATACAATTCAACTCGACTCGACGGCGACAACAATAAACATTTGAAACAAACAAGCCACAAATAAGGAGAAGCCACATCCGCATCAAGAGATCGAGTGGGATGCGAGCTGATGATGACTCCCCGGCCAAATGGTTACGTGAATTCGTGAAATGGAAACATTTAGTTTTATATCTTTTGCCTATATATGTATACACACTGAATTAAAGAAGCAGATTTACAATGTGCAATCGTATCTCTACCTAAATCTTAAATCTAACGCGTAAACTTCTTGGCCTGGTCACGGTTGACCTGCTTGAAGTGTCGCTGCTTGGAGGCCGATCCCTCGTTCATTTGCTTGTAGAACCCAAATCCACCGCCGCCCACCCGTTTCTCAGGTCGCTCTCGCTTAGCCGCTCCCACCTTCAGGTCAACCACGGGCGGCACCAGGAATCCAAAGCTCTTCGCTACCGCCTGCAGATCCAGTGTGTTCACATTGAAGATTTGCTTCAACTGGTGCGAGTCGTACGCCCGCACGTATGACTTGAATGCCTCTTTGGCCGACTGGTTGAGGAAGTAGTTCTTAGCGATCAGTTTCTCCAACTGCAAAGAATAATAAATGGAATGTAATTCAAGGTTTGCACCAAATATTCATATATTCGTTCTTATTTATGAAAAACAATGATGAGCAATTTTCGGATGACCCACCTGCAGTTGAATATCAGCTATTTTCTGCCAGGAGAACTCAAACTCGTTGAGCGGCACCTTAGCGGCCTTAAGGTAGCGCAGGAAGCCCAACTCCTCGGGTCTCATTAGGAGCAGGGCGTGACCAGAGGTGCCCGATCCTCTGGCAGTTCGGCCCACCCTGTGAATATACTCGCGCGGATCATCTGGAGGATCGTACTGCACGATCCAATCGACCTGCGGAATGTCCAATCCACGTGCCGCCACATCCGTACATAAAAGAATTCCCGATTCGGCATTGCAAAACTGGAAGAAGGTAGTGGTTCGTTTCGTCTGCTTTTGTTTTCCATGAATTGACGTCACTGGCAGATCAATGTAGTTAAAGAGTTCGTGGTGGTACTTGACGGACATGCAGGACGAGAAGAAAACCATCACCTTCTTCTTGCGATTCTTCTTGAGGAACGTGAAAAGGACGAGCAGTCTCTTTTCCGAGGGGCATACGATATAGCCTTGCTCTAGTCCATCTACAGTCGCCGTGTCCTGGTTATCATGAACGCCCACATAAATGGGTTCCGACTTGAGGGCCAGCTTAGAAAGGGCTTCAATGCGAGCAGTCTGCGTGGCCGAAAACAGCATTGTCTGGCGGCGTTCTTAAAAGGGTAAGATATATTAAAATAAGTATTATAACATATTTTAAAAATTTTTTTACTAACTTGGAAGCAAGTTGATGATTTGCTTAAGCTCCTCCTCGAAACCTATCTCCAATATCCGATCCACTTCGTCAATAATCAGGCACTGCAGGTTCTTATACAAAAAGTCGGGTGAGTTCTGCAAGTGATCCAGTAGACGACCCGGTGTAGCCACCAAAATGTTGATGCCCTTGCCCAGCTTTTCACTCTCCACCTGGCGATTGGAGCCACCCATAACCAGGCCGTAAGTGTGATGGTGGTGTGCCATCAGCTCCTTCAGCACGCCGAATGTCTGCATAGATAACTCTCGCGTGGGTGAGATGATGATAACGCCAGTACCATTTCGCGGCATAAATCGCAGCTTGTTTATCAGTTCGACGGCGGGAATCAGGAAGGCCAACGTTTTACCGGAACCCGTCTGGGCAGCACCCACCAGATCCCGTCCTTTTAGCAGAGGTGTCAGTGATTTCGCCTGTATTTCCGTCATCTCAGTGAATCCCATCTCTTTCACGGCACGCAATGTGGCCTCGGAAACAGCACCTTTTAAGGAGGCAAAGCTGCGATCGTCCGAGTCCCGGTAGTCCAAAGCAGCCAGAGAGGATTCCACGGTAAAGGGCTCATCATCTTTCAAAGGCTTGCCATTCTGTGGCTTAGACTTGTTCGGCAACAGCTTCGTTTTCTTGGCCGGCACAGGCTCATCTTCAGCTTCATCTGTAATTAGTACTTTGGGTTAATTAAGGTTTATCACGTCTGCTGTTCTTTCAAATTGTAAAACATTAATTCAGTTTCTTTTTAGAATCCATTTCATGCCTGCTCTTGACAGCATTAACTCGCTGATCTAGTGCTGCTCAAATTCGCCTTTAAAAATCATCATTATTTGGTATTACTAAAATTCCTTTCCTTAAATATGTTTCACTTTACTTTTACTTATCCTTGGAACCCTCTGTTTACCTCTAGATAATATGTTTTGATTATTGTTTATTACTGACCTTCCTCCTGCTCATCTTCTTCACTGCCACTGGCCCCATCCTCTTCATCCACTTCGTTATCTTCCTCCACATCTTCGTCATCCTCTTCATCATCATCTTCATCGGAATCTGAATCTGAGTTGGCCACCTGAATTTGTTGCTTCTTGGGTGGATTTTTTTGTTGCTTCTTCTTGGGCAGCGGTGCCTCCTGGAAATCTTCCTCTAAATCGTCGTCTGCGAAAAAAGAATTAAATATGTATATACTATCCATGTTATTTATAAATGATCCTTACCATCATCCGCCTCCACATGTTTTTTGATTGGCTTATGCTGTTTTTTACTTGGTTTAATTCCATTTTGTTTTGGTGGCTCTTGGACCTGGGGCTTGTTTTTCCCCTTCTTCTGCGACAGCTCCTTCTTCATCTTTTCCCGCTTCACTATCTTTTTCATCAGCAACTTTTCTCGGATCGACATAATGATTAAATTGCTTTATAATACACTTTAGTGGTTAAAAACAGAATTTCCAAATAAAATAAAGCGCGCACGTGTTGCAGGCCAAAAAATTGACATTCACCCCGAAGCAAACGATTACCGGACAGCTGTGCCTATCGATAGGGCGATTTATTTTCTTGGAAAATATGGTGCGACCGTTTTTGTAAACAAATGTACTTTTTAAATTTAAAATACAGGTTTTTATTTGACATACAATATAAAAATGTATGTTTTTATTCCAACATTTTTGCCCTTTTATTTCATTTGTTTATCGTTGGATCGCGGAAGCTTGTTTTCTAACCAAAAGGCATAAAAATTGCTTGCTTCTTTAAGAGAGAACAATGTATTTAAATTTATCAATTAAAAAAATATAATTTTTAATTATAAAATTCACATTTTTAATATTAATCACACATCATAAAAAACATACAAAGATTTTATCTTTTTTGCAATTACAAAGGCATTTTTTTGGTCATTTGGCTTTCCAGAGCAGACCTTATCTGTAATGGCAGAAGGGAATCACCGTTCCTTATCACTATTTCTAATTGGCCCTATTAAAGGGTTATTCTAATGCGACATTATCTGCTCAACATTCTTGCGCAGATCATTGCGTCCACAATCGGCTAAGGCGCGACACAGGCGAACTAGGAAATGTTTGGGGTCGTGACAATCGTCCTCTTCGATGAGCTGCAGCAATTTCAGGATCTGCGACTTCAGATCATGCGGATATCGCTCCTCGATGTCATCCATGATGCCCTCACCAATGCCCGCCGATCTGCCCAACCGTCGCCAGAAGCGTCCTAACTCCTCGGATATCTTTTTAAAGACAGCCGTACGTTTGTGTTCCGTGAAGACAGCCGGAGTGGTGTAATTTTGGATTGCAGGTGTGGGTGCAGCTACAGAAACTGCCGAAACATGAGGTCTTGTCTCTTGGGGCGATGACAAATGGAGTTGCTGTCGCAGTTCTTCGGCCAACCGAATTTCCTGGTACAGATTTACTGGCGGTTCAAGGAAATTTTCAGGCGGTTTATAGCCATCTAGTGCCTCGATTAGTTGCGCCTGATTGCCGGCCATCCTGCGCAGTGGTTCCACATTGTCCTCGGCCAGTTCGTCTGCCCTTTCCAGGCAATCGATAAGATCCTCAATGGAGCGTATACAATCCATACGTCGTTGCGAGCCAATCTCTGTGACGAACATTTGCTTTAGCTGCTCCACGTCCTCAGTGCAAACATTGATGGCGATCTGCTTGAGGATGTCATAGCTCCAGTGCTTGCCGCCTGTCATTGTTACTAATTTACTTGGATTATGGTCAAAAGCGACGGTGCCTTAAGCTATCCAAAGTTGCCAAGTCCAAATTTTAGCTTCAACTCCTTGTAATATTCAATATGACCGTACTGCCAAACAATGCCTTATCAGCTAGTTATCGGACGAAAAGCCTTATCGATTGTTTCAAAATGCTGCGGAACCTCACTTCATCATGTAAACGAATAGAAAAAATAAATGAATAAAAAATTTTTCATTTTTCTTTGCATTAAAAAAAATATTGCGTTATACTGGTAATTAAAAAAGAATCCTCTACTTTACTTCCACCACCTACCAAAATCTCGACACCGTGCACAACTAGTGTGACCATTTGGTCATAGATTATATCGATAGCTATCGATTATTTTACTACATATATAAATATATATGTTTTGTTACTTTTAACTAAAGCAACTTATACTAAATGTAAACGTGTGGACGAATGGAAATATCCATAAACGTTTTTGTTTTCTTGCTCTATACTCTGGTCGTGATCTACCTTCAGCATTTCGTAAACAGGTACACGGAGTTTGTGCGCAGCCTCTAAATGCTGGGCCTTCAAACGTACGCGAGCTCCTCGGAGGGCGAATCGGACCATGAGGACGGCGCAGCCTCCAAATCGGAGTCCTCCACTCCCATTTCCATTCCCGATCATCTGCTACCCGTGGACAAAACACATTCGCTTTCCACGGCCATCGCCGTGTGTGCAGCACCAGCGGTAGTGCCACTTGGAGCGTCAGCTGTGCCCCGAACTTTGGATCCAACGCTCAAGGAGGTCATCTACAATCCGCGTTACGAGGAGATGTATGCGCCGGTCAAAGGTCCGGAGCACCCGGACCTCACCATGCAACAGCGGGCACCGCGTAACACACTAGCCGGCTACGTGGAGAAGGCTCACATCAACGCATTCGAGTTTGAGAACCAGCGGCGCACCTTCCACACCTACGGCTATGCCTTGGATCCCAGTGTGGACGAGCAGGCTGACGGAAAATCGTATGTCGGTGACTTGCAGTCAGCATACGATGACAATGGAAAAACCGTGTTCGAGGCGCCCAGAGCGAAAAAGATGCGCAAACAGGAGAAAAATGATAATCCGGAAGACATCGAAGGCTTCCTTGGACCTTGGGGCAAGTTTGAGAACGAGGTGTCTGTGGCCAAGCCGAACGAACAGGAGCGCGCTGAATTGGACGAGTTGCTTTCAAAACGGCACAAACGCGGAAGAATCCCCGAAGATAAGCCTCTCGAGGAGAAGAGTACATTGCACAGTGAGTATAAAACATATCAACTGCTATGGGATATAAATCTTAATCTTATATTCTCTATACTCAACAGTCAAGGATGCCTACGACTACCAGGGCCGCTCGTATCTGCATGCTCCACATGATCTGGGCGTAAATTTGAGATCCAATGCACCGCCGCCAAAATGCTTTCTGCCTAAGGCGCATATTCACACCTGGTCGGGTCACAACAAGGGCATTTCTTCTATTCGCTGGTTTCCCAAGACCGCACATCTTTTGCTATCCGGTTCGATGGACTGCAGGGTCAAGTTATGGGAGGTTTACGGCGAACGGCGCTGCATTCGCACCTTCTCCGGGCACCGACAGGCCATTAAGGATATTGCGTGGAACAATAAGGGTACTAACTTCTTGTCTGCTTCCTACGATCGCTACATAAAGTTGTGGGATGCTGAGACTGGGGATGTGGTTTCCCGTTTCACCACACGCAAAATGCCATTCTGTGTAAAGTTCCATCCAGATAATAGCAAGCAACATTTGTTCGTGGCTGGTACCTCCGACAAGAAGATCATTTGTGTAAGTAACCTAAGGTGATTTGAAGTATATCAAATTAATATTATGATTTCTATTGAATCCATAGTGGGATACTCGAAGTGGAGATATTGTTCAAGAATACGACCGGCACTTGGGATCAGTTAGCACCATCACATTCGTGGACGACAACCGTCGGTTTGTTACTACCTCGGACGATAAATCGATGCGCATCTGGGAGTGGGATATACCGGTGGACATGAAGTACATTGCCGACCCGACTATGCATTCCATGCCTGCTGTAACATTGGCGCCAAATGGCAAGTGGATGGCCTGCCAGTCGTTGGACAACAAGATTGTCATATTCTCCGCCCTCAACCGTTTTAAAATGAACCGCAAGAAGACCTTTACTGGACACATGGTCTCAGGCTACGCGTGTCAACTGGATTTTTCGCCGGACATGAGCTACTTGGTTTCGGGTGATGGCGACGGCAAGTGTTATATTTGGGATTGGAAGACTACGAAGATGTACAAGAAATGGCAGGCGCACGACGGCGTCTGCATCAGTGCCCTCTGGCATCCGCACGAGGCCAGTAAAGTGGTCACCGCCGGTTGGGATGGCCAGATCAAATATTGGGACTAAAGGTCCGCTCAAAAAAATCTAACGTAGATAGTTTTAAGCCAAAACGATATGTAAATTGATTGATTATATGGCATACCTATAATAAGATGTTTTACTGACTTATTGTTATTGTCTGGAATTAATCCCTTGGCAGGTCCTCGTTTTAGTTGAATGTAGATGCCTTTATTTACCTTCAGTTGTGATAAGAGTGCGCTTGCGCAGTGCATGGGAAAATGAAAACAACTCGACGGATGGTTCGCCCACCACCACCCAGCCACCCCCACAAGCAAGCCAAAACATATGCGAGTGTTTGGCCAAAATCGATATTTTCCACGAACGGCGCACAAACCTCGAGCGGATAGTAAAAGGGCCTGTTGAAAATCAGGAAAACATATAAATCTAAAAAATTCTACGCAGTTGAGGAGATGCAGTGAAGGACGAACGAAAGGAGGACCCAACCGAGCATCTGCTAGATAGCCGAGAATCCTGCCAACGGCCATGGCCAAGCCCCACTCGGATGCGGATGCCTCTGGCCTGGGCTACGCCTACCAGCTGCCGTCCGGCGGCCTCCTGCTACGCCTTAAGTCGTCCCTCTCGCAGTTCAGTGATTTGTTTAGCGACTTTAGCAGGTACATCTCACCCGCCTATCACCACGATCGCTGCGAGCGGTCCGTCCACATGCGTCTGTACTCGATGCACAAACGCGAGTTCGTCATGGTCTTCCTTGGCTTCTTCACCTGCTTCGGCCTGGGAATCGTCATCGGGTTGACAGGACCGCCCATTACCAGCACATCCACACTAACCGCCCAGCAGATCCTGGCGAACACTTCGTTGGCTCATAGCCCAACGGTCCTAGGAAAAGGACCCTTCGCCATGAAGTCACCGCTGACCACTACATATTCCCAGCAATTGTGGCTGATAGCCAAGCTGGTGACGGACAACAACGATGGTAAACCTTAACTAATTTTTTTAAAACTAACGATCGAATTTACCCCACTGTGTTCGTCCAGATGAACGCTATGATAAGAGTTTCCAGGTCAGTGTCTCCATTGATGGCATCAACGAGCAGCACAAACCGCAGAATGTCCTCGGCTCCGGAGTGGCCCACAACCGGACAAGGCACTTAGTATGCGTGCGGAACGACTGTGAGGAGTTCACGGTGATGCATCTGGGATTCCTGGACTACGCCCACTATATCATCACAGTGCGCTTCTACGGGTTGGAGTCCTTCCACCAGAAGTATAATATACGTAGCCTTACATTTTACGTGAGTGGCTTAGCATTTCCTTTATAATATGTTACTAACTTTTAAAAGTTTAGTTCAAGACTTATAGTCCGGAATTTACGCAAATTGAAATCTGGTTTAGATGCATCTTTCTGCTGTTTACCTTCATCGTTATTGTAAGTGGATTAAATCTATATTATAATGTTATTTTATATAATATACTTGTAAATCTTTTCAGTGCTGGTACGCACACACCTTGCGTAAATATCCGATCTATGATTGGTCCATTGAACAGCGATGGTTGTCGGTATTGTTGCCCCTGCTTCTGCTGTACGATAGTAAGTTCCAGCTTGTAAGTTAATAAATATAAACTTTAGCATGGATATCCTCCCGCCTAGATCCCTTCTTCCCGATGATATTCCTGATGAACTCGTGGCTGCCAGGAATGCTGGACGCTATTCTGCAGGCTACATTCCTCTGTGCTCTGCTCATGTTTTGGCTCTGCATTTACCACGGGCTGCGGCAAAACGAGCGAAGTTTTGTCCGTTTCTACCTGGTCAAGGTGATCGTCGTTCTACCCATATGGCTGTGCGCTATTGTGCTGGCCACCTGGGAAAAGTGCAACGAGCTTAGAGATCCCACATACAGTCACTTTGTGGACACAAAGAACTACAATGTGGGTATATTAACATTAATATTGATTACTATTAAAATTTCAATATCGAAACAATTATCAGGGATTCAAGATGTTCTTCTACATTGCCTGCTGCATGTATGTGCTGTATCTGGTGTTGCTTTTGCTGCGAGCATATACCGAGCTCCGTTCCATGCCCTATTTTGGTGAGAATGATCCTTACATCCGCAATCCATTTATATTAAATCCTTAAAAATTTTCTCAGATATGCGCCTAAAGTTTCTCACGCTGCTTATGTTGTTTGTCTTGTCTATATCCATCACGGTGACCACCTGCCGCTTTGGCTTCGGCATCCTCGAGGATAACTTTGTGGCCTCACTTAACACCACCTATCGCAGTTCGGCACAGTTCATGTGCTTCTATGGACTGCTCAACTTTTACCTGTACACCATGGCGTATGTGTATTCGCCGGATGGGCGCTTTGCCCAGGCAGAATTGGCCGTAACCAAGGATAATCCGGCTATTTCCATGATCGACGACTCCGACGAGGATGTGGTCTATGGCTCCGATGAGGAGTCCCGACGCCCTCTCACCGCTGTAACCGGCGGCGCTGGAAAGAACGACTACGACAGCGATTGATCGGGGTATAAAGATCAGTGGGAGATTGGATTCCAAAATGTTCCATAGCGCAAGCGAGGGTTATAGTGCTAAATTAGTGTACAAAATATTCTCTAATATTATGCATAAATTAAACGAATTTCCCAAAATAATCAATGAGTATTTAAACTTCGCTTTCCAGGAACAACATTTTTTCGATTATTTTACTAGACTGTTTATTAGATAATTAACACATTTCGCCAGATGATTTTCATTCAAGAGAAAAAAGAAAAACCTCTAGATGGCCTCGTTGATGCCCAATTTCGTTTTGGTGAGGAGACCGCCGTCACCCATATCCGCATTATAGCCAGGACGATACTTCATACCAGGAGCCTATATATAAAAAACGAAGGTGTTAAATGGGAATCAAAGGACGAGAATAAGCGCAGCACTCACATTGTACCAGACATCGCGCCAGACTTTGCTGTCGTCGGCGCTGCGCAGCAGTTCTGGAACGTCGAAACGAGGCACATTGAAGTAGTTCATCAGATCGGGCTTCTCGTGGCAGTACTTGATGCGGGCCTCGCACCATTCGGTCTCTAGGGGGAAACGCCAGTCGAGCATCTTCTTGTTGTGAGAGTCTGCCTCAAACTGGTTGAAATCGATGCGTTCGATATCTTCCACCACAACCTCGGTCTCCCCACCAGCTGTCCAGTCGTAAATAAGCAGCTCGGCATGTGTGGAGATGTCCTTAAGGTACTGCTGCTTGTAAAGCTGCTCCACATCGTTCAAGTAGGCATCACTGAACACCTTCGATTGCACTTCGTAATCCACGTTGCGGGACTTAATCTGCTTCTTAACCGCATCTACCGGCAGATCCAGGTAAATAACCAAATGCGGCTTTAGCAGTTCCCCAATGGTGTTCTGACGCAGCTCATTGTACACGGAACGAGCACCACGGGACAGATAACCCTGGCGGAACATGGCCTCCATGAAAACAAAGTCCGAGTAGGGGCTGCGCTCAAGGACAACGCCCTGTCCAGTGCTCAATACGTGCTGCAGGGCATCAATATATTGCGAATAGCGCAGCATGTACATGCGAATCTGGAACTGAGCGGCTAGATCGTGGCTAGGATCCAAGCAAAAGTTGCGTACATCGTAGCTGCGACAGCTGGGCGGCAACTGAGGATCCAATTTCCTCATGTCATAGCCATAGGAATTGATGTAGATCAGGTCCAGATCTACGGCAGGATAGTACTGCATATCCAGCTCATCGGCCAGTTCCTGGGCGAACTTCGACTTTCCAGCAGCGATGGGCCCCTCCACACAGATCACCTTGCTGTTCTCATCAAAACGCTTAGAAGTTTTGTCGAAGAACGCATTGAATACGGTGTACTTTTTGGTCTTGTACGGATAAGGGGCCGCCTTTGGTACCCGGGGACCACCACGCATTGTCTTGCCGGAGATACTGCATCGCTGCTGGAAGGCGGCGGGCAGGGCGTTCGCCTGCGCCTGGAGAAGATTGGGCGACTGTGTCGCGCGGCTGACAAGCCGTACCAGGCCAACGCGGAACACGGCGGTCATTCTATGGGTGGAGACAAATATCAGTATGTTAAATTCATAATAATAACAAATATTTCTGGCCCTCTGGCAGTTTGTGGTTTGGTTACATCACAGGATCACCACTAGTTGTGCGGTAATTTCTGTCCTAAATGTACATGTACGTGGTTGTTTATGATTCTTCCGGTTTGCCGCCAGCTGGAAGCTTCTTGGACTTAACAAGTTATATGGGCTTATAGCCCGAACGGGTCCTAAAAACTCACTTTTCAAGCTAAAAATCGGAAGTCTCCCCAAAAACAAATTCCGGGTAGTGTTACCGGATGGTGGAATGACTTTTTGCTCAAATTCTCACGACCACACTAAAATATTCTGTTTTATTTTAAATTCGAATACAATATTACTTTTATTTTCAAAATTAAAAAAGCATGCAACATAAAAAAAAAGTTCTTTGAAATAAAAATCGTTCTATTTTTTTTTCAATAGAAAGTCAAAGACATTTATTTTTTTTCAGACCACTATCTTACAGCACTTACTACTATACTTATTTAAAATTAATTATAAGATGCTATTGATTTATAGTAGACAAGAGGTATAGTCTCTAACTTTTATTTTAAGCTTTTGCATATTTTGACTTCGCTGAAACCGTCTACTTTCGAGCGATCTGGTAACCTCGGTCACAACCTCACTGCATTTTGGGCTCCAACGTTCTAACAATGAACTAACGAAAATATCAATCAAAATTCTAAGCAACTGGCTTCAAAAACTAATAAGCAAACACCCATTATAGTGACAAAGAGGATTGGGTAAGTCCTGGCTGTGGAGCCTTGCATTTACTGGGTATTTTAAGCATCAGAGTTACGCAACTGAGAACTAATAGGATTTTCCTCGTGACACAGATTTTGTTATTGAGCAATTCCCAAACAAAATGGGCAATATACCAATCAGCCGGGTGCATATGGAGGCCCCCAAGAGCGTACCTGTGGATCACGCCAAATACATGAGCGCTGCTGGTGGTTCCCCGCCACCGGAATGCCCCATGCACCAGAAACAAGGAGATGCGAAATCCGCCTCTGCCGTACCCCCACATCCCAAGATGCAGGCCGCATCTGAGTGTCCAGTGCAGCACGACAACAGCGATGTAAATCCGCTGAACATGATGCCACCGGCCAACCAACAGCCTGCGGCTGATCAACCCTTCCCACTGCCCACAGATCGTCAGACGTCGACCATTCCCAAGGTCACAGAGGATGGCAGTGTCCAATTCTGGCAGTATCCCAGTCAACAAATGTTCTGGAATGCCATGCTACGTAAGGGTTGGCGCTGGAAGACCGAGGACGTCTCGCAAAAGGATATGGGCGACATTATACGCATTCACAATGCCAACAACGAACAGGCCTGGCAGGAGGTGCTCAAATGGGAGGCGTTGCATGCCAAAGAGTGCGGAAATCCTCGTCTCAAAAGCTTTGGCGGAAAGGCCAAGGACTTCAGTCCACGAGCTCGCTTCCGTAGCTGGCTTGGGTGAGTGATATGTTATTTTAAGACTACATTACCAAAGGATTCAAAAAAGGATTTCAAAAAAGTAGGGTCACTCAAGTCACTAGAAGTAATTCATGTCAGTCAGTTTATTACTCAATTTAATGATCTTTCATATGATTAAGGAACAGATAGCACATCAGCTTAAAATATAATAAGTGAAAATGTTGTTCACGTATAAAACACTTTTTTGAGTCTTTTCGGCCAAAGATTTTTACTGAAAAGCACTATAACATTTTATAACTTTATTTTAGATACGAACTGCCTTTTGATAGACACGACTGGATCGTCGATCGCTGTGGCAAGGATGTGCGTTATGTCATTGACTACTATGACGGCGGTCTAGTGGACAAGGACTACCGCTTCGCATTACTAGACGTCCGTCCTGCTATGGACTCCGTGGATAACGTTTGGGACAGAATGCGAGTTGCCTATATGCGTTGGAAGTACGAGCTTTCCGAGAAGTTCGGCGGACGAGATAGCGGCAAAGTGACAGCTGGTAGTGACTAGGAGAAATAGATAGATGATCGGTATCTGTACAAAATCGGCTTAAGTTATTGGATGCGACTGGAGTTGTAGTTTCAAATGTTAGGGAACGAGGAGCGGTTGCCAGAAGGCGTAGGTAATCGCACTAGTTCTCAAATAAACTTTTATTTTGACTTCTAAATATCCATAGTCCAAAGTAGTTTTCTTAAATATTTAAACGTTTTTTTTTAATTTTGGATTTTTTTTCTCATATATCTGGCTCTATATTCCCCTCTAGTTCTGAGTGGAAAATTCATGTTTTTTTTCGTGTGTTCACCAAATGGCGCATTAGTCAAATAAAGAAGATCATCAATACAACAAAATAACTTGTCATAATCCAAACTTATTTTTGTTAGTAGAAGACGAGATTCCGATGTATTAAACGAGGATCATTTTCTTGTATTAAGCCCTTTATGGCAGCCGCTGCTTCAAGACGATCCCTAGAAAACAAAAGAAGACATATATAAGATTTTTATTTAATACATATTGGTTTCATTATTTACTGCTTTTTTGTGCACATGGTTGCCAGTTCATATAGTATGGTTCGGGCTAAGACAGCCGTTTGATAAGATGCGCTAGTGGTTAACGGCTGAAGCAAAGTGCAAATGCTAACCAATTTTTTATCTTTGAATTGCTCGAAATTATTATGGATGTATATGTAGGTTACAGACAGGAGAGATTCCTGCTGGGTTGCCTTTAGAGTTGCTAATAGCTTTAGTTGATTTTCCAAGGGTTTAATGCTTGGCAACATTAAGGCCACCAGGAACTCGAACATCATGTTGATTCCCAACAAATCGTTTGGGCACAATAACGCCTTCCACAACTTATCTGACCATTTCCACCGTTTATGTAACGTGATCAAAGCAGTCGCAATACGTATCTTTCGTCTATGTACATTTGAGTTTTCCAAGTAATTCCTATTATTTTTCGATAGTTCGCTGTTCATGCTCAGCAGTTCATCACACATTTTATTTACATCAAGTTCGTTATCGTCATAGGCGTTTGCTAAAAATAATTGTCGGAAACATTGTTTATCGTCTTTAGGTTCGAATACATAAGCGGCTTCAATTCTACGGGATTGTTTAAAATTTATCATTCTTTTGTATACTAATCATATGAATGACTTACCGTTCATCTCCTGTTAGTATATCCCCTCTTAGTATCATACCTAGCGTAAAATTATACGAAAGTTTTATTGGTTGGTACATTTCAATTTCGAAGTCATTAGTTTGACACAAACTAAGTATACAGTTCTCACGCTCCTTGACATCAAGATTATGTAAGGCGTATAATAATATACCGGCACTAAAAAACTAGGATCTAGAATTTGAAATAAAAATGATTAAATTTATTGATGCTTACGATTCATGAATATATCTCACACGAGATACTAGTGCGGGCAGAACATTTTCGTCCTCAAATTTATGGGCCGTTCCTATAATACTTATTAAGTGTTGAAAGGTGTCGTTGTTACCCTGGCTTAAAATTTCCATGGGATTTAATTTAGAGTCCTTAAGGTCATGCCAATATTTGATGTTTATTTTGACGAAGAGATCAACACAACGCGATTTTAAGAATGACTTTTCTTCGAATGTTTGGCAGCCCAATTTATCAATTAAGTGCTGTTGAATCTTCTGGAGACTCTTACTAGTGAGTACCAACGACGTGTCCACATTGTAAACGGTTCGGTAAAAATCCATGATATCATTGTCAACTTCTTTTTGGAATAGAGATAAACGCCACCAACCATGGTTTTCCTTAGGGATTGTCTGCACTTTCCTTATAAAAATGGGAAAGAGTCTGGTTTTATAAAAGGTATTATATCCAAAAACTCTAGAAGCAAATTCTGGATGTTCATCTACATTTAATAATAATTCGTAAAAATTCTTGTCAAAAAGGTGAATATAATCTGCAAAGTTTGTGCATGCTTCCATTTTAGTTTGAAGTATATAAAACATCCGTGGTAAAAATCTCTCACATCTTATTTTTTTGTCGGTGTTTTTATTGTACACAAATTCTATTATGTTCATATAATCTGCCAAAGTAAGTTTTTCAATTGTGGCCTAAAAAAGGTTAAAAAAACGTTACCAGAAACACCATACTTTATGTATTCAAATTACACTTACCTCGAAAACTGTCAATGTATTAAAAATGGAACTCTGTCGAAGCTCGCTGTTATTGATGGCTCGAATACGAGAGCATAACATTTGGAGCTGTTCTTTGGACACTATTGGAATTCTCGCATGCCTCATTCTGTACAGCCATAGGTGCAAAGGGACTCCCTTCCAGGGAATTTCCATAAAAACGTTTATAAAAACTTCCATATTGGCCGCTTTTAAAAACGGCTCATTATAAATAGTCATAAAGTAATCTGATTCTTCGTAATCGTACAATTCGTTTCTGTTGGTGGCCAAAAGGACCTTATGCAGCAGGTTAAAGCGACACAATTGATTGTAGCCTGATTGCTCCAAAAAGTATTTGAGTGTCTGGAGAAGCACCGGCATACGATCGTCTTGAAGTAGTCTAAGGCACAAAATGCGCAACCAATCCGACCAACGCTCCCCAATATCCGAGTGAAGAAGCCCTAACACGGGTAGATATTCTCTAATGGTATTCACAGCCAAGTCCACTTCTTTCATATGTAGGCTTTCAACGATTCTCACGAAATAGGACAGCTGAACATCATAACATTGCATGGCATCTAGTATGGATTGGCCAATAGCTCCTCCATGTCGGCAAACCAACTCCATTTTGCACATCAACAGGCAAGCAACCCTTCTCTTCTGGGGCTCCTCGGATTCCAAGAGCCTTTGTATGCCGTCAAGTAATTTCAGAATTCTTTCCACTTTCTGTCCATGTAGAATATCGTTTCCTATGGACAAAAGTTGAGTCATCAGGAGCTTTCCATCTACCTGGCGACTAACTGGTGGTATTTTTTCCAACCTTTCAGACATCGGTGAAGATAACAGCTTTATCAGTTCGGGGGTAAATAAGTTTTTTCCACACCCATTATCCTGGAGTAGGTTGCAAAGCCCCAGGAGCATTCTCTTTAGTTCCTCCTCGTTATCCTCGAGAATTTCCACCAGGTCCAACAAAAACTCATCCATTTTGTCTTTTTCGTCGCAGTAAAGTAAACTTTGCTCAATTGGGATTTTTGCAATTTTTAAGTGGTTGGTTATCTTGTGATCGCGATAAGATAAGAAGGCTGATTTGGAAGGAGAACCAGTTTAGAAGGTACCGGAAATACTGAGAAATAATTATAAACTATTGGTAAAAATGTGAAAACAATCAAAAAAATATTTTAAAATTTTCCAGCAAAAAATTACTTTAAATACGTTAGAAAAAGAGTTAAGGAAAAGTGTAAAGTACTTAGAAACATTTTTGGAATTCTTAAATTTATTTAGATTTTTAAAACATTGTGTGTTTTTATAGAAATTAAAGATTACTAATTATTTTGTTTTTACTTGTTAAAAGCTTAAATATTGTAATTATGTGTTTTTTTCCCCTTAGCGGCTTTAGAGGGTTAATCATTGACAGTGTTGAAAAACTCCAGTTTTCATCAGTATCTTTGTTTTTGTCCCCATTACGTGAGAATCGTGTTTGGCCACTCAACTGGAGAGTTAATTGGATAGCCCCGATCATTTCAATTCGAATAAATCAGTCATAAATGCTAGCTGCCAGAATGAGGTTCGTGCAATACCTGCGTAAAGGTGATTTGGCCCAGCGCCTTGGATTCCTTTCCGAGGACCAAAAGTCTCTGGTGGAATTTGCCGGCTTAGAGGGCGTGCCAAGTGATCTGAAGACCCTGATTGCACAGAATCCCAACCTAGAGGAGTTGGCCAAAAAAGCAGAGAAACAGCCACGAATCGAAGTTAACGATGATGTCACATTGCTGTCACCTCTCACCGATCCCGGCAAAATCATCTGCATTGGTTAGTGGTCCTTGATCTTCAAAATTACATTTCAAACTCAATACTTATATATGTATGTATGTACATACAATAACACGGCAGGTCTCAACTATCAGGACCACTGCGACGAGCAAAACAAACCGGCCCCCAAGGAACCCATGTTCTTTAGCAAGTTTAACAACGCCCTGGTTGGTCCCCAAGATAATGTGATCGCTCACTCGGCGAGTAACGTACGTAGAACAAGAGATAACAAGAGATAGCCTCGTCAAGATTATCAAAACTAAAAAAAACTTTCCACAGAAAATCGATTGGGAGGTTGAGCTGGTTTGTGTCATTGGCAAGGTCGCACGCCAGGTGCCCAAGTCCCAAGCCATGGACCATGTCTTCGGGTACACAGTGGCCCAGGATATCTCTGCCCGCGACTGGCAGAAGGAGAGGAATGGCGGTCAGTTCCTAATTGGCAAGTCGATGGACACTTTCCTGCCCCTAGGACCGGCTGTGGTGCACAAGAGCTTAGTGCCAGATGTCTATAATTTGAATCTAAAGACCTGGGTTAACGGCGTGGAGAAGCAGAACGGCAATACTGGCAATTTGATCTTCAAGCTAGATGATGTGATCAATAGATTGTCACAGACTATCACCCTTCTGCCGGGCGATATCATCGTTACTGGAACGCCAAAGGGCGTAGGAATGCATCGCAGTCCACCGGAATTCCTTCAGCCCGGCGATGTCGTCCAGTCGGAAATCGTGGGATTGGGCAAGCTCTGCAACAAGATCGTGGCCCCCTAAGGTTCCTTTTTATTTGTTATATGTTTGTACATATATGTTTTTGTTGTTTATGAAACAATGGCATTTAATAATGAGTTTGCAGTTTTCAATGTTAATTGGGTCTAATTTTCGCATATGGTTTTAAATTTCTAACCAAAATGGAATGAACACTTGTAAATAGAGTGATGCAATTTTAAGCGAACTCTATGTTAGTTACCTAATGAAAATCGTTGCCTTTATAGTTCAAAAAGGGTAGTAAATTGAATGCTTTTATAGAAATTTTATCGGTAGGTGTTGGACTTGTAACCAAACAAATCAAAATTCAGCTTGTTTTACCATAATTGCTCCATTTTGTTAAGAAAACTTCAATCAGATATCGAGAAACCAAACCGCTTATTATTTCAACATTGAAAAATTTTTATTTAACTAAAACAAGGTTAGACTTTAAAGATCTTCGACTGTGTGGCATAGTACTCGTTGCGGCTGTGATAGGGCCTATAGGGGTCGTTGATATAGTGCTTAGGACGGCGCCAGAAGTTGGTGACCATCTTGTCCAGAAGCCAACTCTGCGTTGCGTTGGTAAAGACGTGCTGCTTGAGGCGACGGCGCAGAGCTGATGATTTTTTGAAAAGCTTCTTCTGGCGACCGGAATGGGTGCGTATCCAGGCGCCCCATTCCAGACGCTTAAATCGTTTTAGTACTGCCTTAACAGTCTTTCGTTTTCCCTTGATCAGAGAAAACTTGGTTACGGTGCGTGTGCTTGGTGCTGATCCTGTGGCGGAAAGACCTCCAGGTAGCTGAAAAAACTGGAGCGGTGCGGGGGATGTTAGCGAGGAAGTGGGCAGCAAGCTGGGACGAGCTAATGTCACTAAGCTCGCACGCTGTATCCGCTGGACCAAAGGAACCAGTGATGATGCAGCCGGCGGTTGGCGGCAAACGCTACGCAACGCTGCAAGATATACAAATTAGAGAACCTGTAAGCTTTATACCATACAAACAGACATAAACTTACCGCTTGTTACAAATGATCTTAGCATTTCTTTCACTTAAGTTAGGAAAACCCAAAATAAACTTAGAATTCCATAAAAAATCGTAACTACTCTTCTTTTTCTCTAGTCGCGTAACAGCAGCTAGTCAGCTGTTTACCATTCGCTGCGAATCAAAGAAAGTACTGGTGAACATTGAGTTTACTTCCCAGTGATTTAAAATGATAAGGCGTGCCTATTTCATAGCTTAAAAAACTTACAAAAAAATATTTTTATAATATCCAAGGTTTTATAACCGGTCAACTATTTTACCTTATATGGCCGAAGACCTGTGAACAAATAAAATATCCTCCATAACTTGAACCAAAAAATTATTATAAATTTAATAACAACAAATATGTATCTAGTACGTGTTTAACAAACAAATGTTTTTGTTAATTTAAATAAAATTGTTTGTGCGGTGACGTACCTAAAAAATTCGTCAAGCGCCCACTAAATCAAATGTATTCAAACTGGATATCGCATAGATGCGTATATGTTGCCAATACTTAACTTATTAAAACACCAAACAAAATTGAATGAACAAATTTTTGTGCAGCCGGTGAAGTATCAAGCGAATCGAAAAGGACGAGCAGGACGCAGGAGACGTATGCGTGTGAGTGTGTGGGATGGAAGAGGAAGCAGCACCAGCACTGGCCAGCCATTCACCCACCAACGCTGACGCAGTCGAGCCAGCTTCGAACGAATTGGGCAAAATTTAATTTACGCCGCCGGGACCTAAAATTAACGGGAGCCGAAGGAGCAGGAGCAGCAGGATCACAGCAAATCAACACCATGTATCGGCTAGCGGTGCGAGATCAGTGCAAGTGCGCCCTGCAGGTTAGTTTTAATTTTGAATTATTCTTCAGCTGTTTGATAACGTGAAAATCGATCGTCACGTTGCCCCACACCCCCGCGTGCCCTCAAACAAGCTGTTGGCGAAAATACAACAAGAGGCGCTGGTTATGTCATCTTCCCAAGCCCAGGAATTGTGCGAAAAAGCTCCATAATTCCAGTTGTCCATGGACATGGGGGTGTCTTCGTGGGTGGCCAACTCCTTTAAATGGTGGAAGTAATCTGTTTTTTTCGATTTCCACAGCGTACGCTGCAGCAGTCGACCACAAACAACAGGCAGTTCAGCGGAAACAGCAGCGGAAGTGGGAGCAGAGAGCAGGGAAGGCGGGAACAGGGACAGCAAGGATATCAAGGATACCAGGGCCTGCCGCCGCCACCGCATATGCGCGAAGCTGGCTTCGGCAAAGTGGTCCTCTTCGTCTCCCCATTGGCAGCCGTCGGCGGAGTCATCACCTACGCCAAGTAAAGATTTTATATTCCTTAAAATGCAGAAAATTGATATAGAAGTACCGTTCATTACCCAATTTAGCCCGCAACAGGTCTAGAATCTAGAAGCTTATGATATAAAACTCCATTTGCAGATACGACTCCGACTTTCGCAAATTGGTGGAGAAAAATGTACCCGGCGCCGGTCCCATTATCAAAGTCGCGCTGCAGGAGGAACCGCCTTTCAAGAGCATCACCAAGAATGTTAACGACCAGATTGACAAGGTCAAGTCTGGTATCGAGACGGTCTCCTCCACCGTGGACTCGGTTACCTCAAAGGTGACGGGTCTGTTTGGCAGCAGTGGCGATGATAAAGCCAAGAAGTCTAAAGCAGATCAGACCAAGGCCACACCTGTCGAGGAAAAGAAACCTTCAAAACCGAGCGAAGTCAGCAAGACAGAAGCGAAACCTGTGCCTAAGCCGGAAACGAAAACTGCAGTTGCTACGCCTATTGCTAAGCCTAAAGAAGATCCTCTGCCACGCGAAGTCGTAGAGCTGGAGAAGGCCATAGAGCTGGCTGCCCAACTGGCCATCAAGGAATACAGCACCGCTATAGGAGTTTTGAAGGGGTAAGAATATAATCTAAAGCTGAGACTATCTTTGTAAATAGTTTAAAAAGGAGCTATAAAAGGAAAATTTTTTGTACAAAATCTATTTTTAAAAAATATTGGAAAGAATACTTTGTATTAAAAGATTATTTCGTCACACAATCGTATCATGAGGATTATGCATATGTTAATAATAGCTATCTCATAAATAGGTTTTTCAAATCTCATAACGCAAATATAAAACATAAACAAATCACTTACTACAAAGCGTAGTATTGGATTTAATAGTTATAATCGTAATAAATTAAATTTCGCTTTCAGCTTTAATGACGATGTTCGCAAAGTGGTGGACAAGGCAGTAGAGAATGGGGAAAACTCTCTTTGGACAACGTTGAAGAATCGCGCTAGTGCAAGGGATACAGCGGTTGCTACGGCGGAGCGAGCAGCACGTGAAGCTCAGGAGAAGATCGGTAAGCTCTGCCTTTCTAAAAATAATAAAAAGTAATGTCAACCGTCCCTCTTGGATATAGTTGCGTGCGAGATCGCCTTGAGTGCTGCGGCAACGGCGCAAAACGCAAAGAAGGTGGAATCGGTGCGTGACAAGATCAAGAAGGTGGTGGACCACATCGGCAACGTCAAGGATGACCTCTACCGGCACAAGGATACTGCTAGCGTATCGGACAAGTACTGGCGCAATGTAGAGAAGGCGCGCAACTATTTTATTGACGAGATCGAGTCCATCTTCCCTGGCCTCAGCTTGGCAGATAAAAAACTCAACTTGTCAAAGGAAGACCTCGATTTGTTCATCCTCCACGCCTACACCCATGTTCTGGCTTACCAGAAGGAGTTACAGCGCCTGCAAACCGATGGTGAACTGCGTCTAAAGCGTGCCATTGACTCGGTTCGGGGCGACAACGATTCAGAGGCTCTGCGCGCCCAACTGGAATACCATTTGGAAGCCGAGCGTCGAAAACTGGCCGTGGAAAACCAGAAAAAAATCTTCCACATCCATGCTGAATCCGATAAGCTGTTGCGCCTGCAGCTCAAAAAGCAAGCCGAGGCCCACGCTGATCACATTAAGGATATTGTGGCCCAGCGGGAGACGGATCTCACGCGTAGCTTCAAGCGTGAGCTGGAGGATAAGCTGGCCACAGAGAAAGCCAACTATAAACTACAATTGGCTGCTATGCTGGGCAAGCTCCGCGGTATGGACGCGGCTTTAGCAGGTGAGTTTTTTTGTTAAAAACTTAAGCTTAGCTAGTGGTGTAGTCTTGCTAGAATTGTAATACATTTAACAACCGTTTAAAACATGCTGCTATTTTAGAGATAGAGGATGAGTTCCAAGGTATTTTAATAAATTTATAGTAATTGTATCGCCTATTTTTGGAATTCAGTTATGTTATTATTTTTCACAAAACTCGATATTCGGTTCTTGTTAGTCAACTTAATTCAAACGTTTTTCAGAACGTGCGGATGCAGAGCGTACTGCCAATCAGGCGCAGGCCTTGTGGGCCGCCTGCCAAGCTCTGTGGGCCTCCGTGCGAACTGCTACTCCTGGCGTACATTACAAGGAGAAGCTGCGTCCACTGAAGAACGAGCTCAATGCCATTGCCAAGGTGGCAAGTAAGTTGGAAAATACATTCTTGACAAGTTTCCTAAAAGCATTGGTAATTTAAATCCTATTTATTAGAGGGCGACGATCTGGTGGCAGCTGTACTAGACAGCGTGCCCCAGGAGGCTCAGGAGCGTGGTGTCTACCCCGAGGATGCGCTGCGCGAGCGCTTCCTTAATGTGGAACGTGTGGCGCGACGACTTGCATTGGTGCCGGAAGATGGAGCCGGCCTGCCCATCTATTTCCTATCCTATCTGCAATCGCTGTTCATTTTGCGACCCGATAATCCCATATCTAAGGACGAACTCGAAAACAAACCCTTCGACTACAGCAAACTAGACACCTACGATATCCTAAACAGGGCCAGGTAAGGAGTCTTCAGTAAAGTAATACCAAAAATTGACTATTTTACAATTCAATAATAGGTACCATGTGGATCGCAGCGACTTCCTGCAGGCTCTTAAGTACATGAACCTTCTGCAGGGTGCATCTCGCAAAATTGCCGGCGAGTGGATAAAGGAAGCCCGTCTCATGCTGGAGACGCAGCAGGCGGCCAACACTCTGATGGCCCACGCGGCTGCCAGCGGCCTCTTGTATTTGTAGACTACGTCCCATACCTTCTTCCTCCAGAAATAAAAGGATATACTTATTATTTGTTATTCGTCCAGGAGAAGACGGACGGAAAGCCACTAAACGCAATAGATAAACATCAATATGTAATTTGTCCAATTAGAGATCACAGTTTAAAAACAAAACACTTATATATATTTGTAAAATTTTGTTTAGTTTCAATTATACAAATTATATATAGAGAAAATCCATTATTAAAATATATTTTGGGCCGTCTTAACATTGAAAACTATTAAATAATTCTGGATCTGTTTGAAATTCGAAACGTTCTTATGGTGTTATTTAAAAACATTGTGATTAGTAAAAGCTATTAGTTGTTTAATTTATTAAATAAAACAAAAGGAAATAAAATCCAATGGATAAAGTATATAATCTAATCTAATTTAATTAATTAAATTTTCTTTTAAAATATAACACATTAAATATAATAGTAACTTTTATTTAGATTTTTGAAATCATAAAATGTGTTTCCTAAAAGAAAAGTAGGCAAATCAAAAATAATCAACACGCTATTACAATATGTTTTCCCAAGAATATTTTTAAATAATTATAAATTTTCGTTACTAATATTTGCCCGCCAAAATAGTATTAGTTGGTCGTTAGCCAACACTCGCCACGCCCGTTCCGTCGTGGATGGCTTTTGTCCCAGCCCTGGTAGCCAGAGGCAATCAGCTGGTTTGCGTGGTCGATTTGGTCCTATTGAAATTTTCGGTTTTGGCACCGGAGCAAAAATCACATCGCAATCAAATTTCCCGTGCCCACAGGATATACGTTTGATTTTTGAACAAAAGCCGGAAGAACTAGCGAACCGAATAGCAAAATGTCGATGCTGGCAAGAACCGTTGGACGCACTTTCATGCAGGTAAATGCTGATCGAGTCCGGGTAGCTCTTACATAAACACTTGCCCGCGACGCGCTATGCGAATATTTCAGCACTGGGGCCTAGTTTTTTTTCTCTTTTTTTGAGGTTATAATCCTAGCCAGCTCTATACCTAACTCCATATAAATTACTTTGTTTCAGGCTGCGGCTGCACGTAGTCTGCACACCACGTCGACGCTCCGTTATCCGGTGAGTTTATGCTTATTTTGAAGGCCCTCAAAAAGATAATATGATTGTCTTTTGTCCTCCAGGATAGCTACGCCGCCAACAGGACCACCTGCACACTGGTTCCCGGAGACGGTGTGGGTCCCGAGCTGGTCTACTCCCTCCAGGAGGTTTTCAAGGTAATTATAAATCTACCATCCTGACCTCAGTATCAGCAATTGTCGGTCGACAATAACATTTTGGATTCATTGATTAGTTGATTAATTCCTCATTCAATAACTTCTACATTCTTTATTAGTAAATCTTGTTTCTAAAATTCATTGATTTAGAAGACGTCAGCCTTCAACATTCATTAAGGAAATCGTTTTGAAAGAAAATATACATCATATTTTAGACAAAGAGCTTAAATGTATTATTATAAAATATCACATATAAAACTTATTTAGTTATGTCAGACTTGAAGTTTCTATATAATTGCAATTTTTCAAACATTCATTATTTGAATCAATATTGGTCGAATTGTATTTTGATAATATTTTAATTTTCGTGATCACGAGTGTTTTTGAATTATATAAATCAAAACAACCCAACTTATCTACATCGTAAAGATATGTGATAAGTGGCTACTTAAAAATATTTGTAGATTTATATGGGGCTTCAACTTTAAAGTAAACCTTTAAAAACATAAAATAATTAGTAATATTATTTAATTCTTTAAATTCCAACTTTTTGATCTATCACAAAGTGTGCTACTAAAAAATTCAGAAATTAAACACACATATTATTTTTAAACAAAGTAAATATGCATAATAATCTTATCTTATCTTATAGGCAGCCAGTGTTCCCGTTGATTTCGAGTGCTACTTCCTCTCCGAAATCAATCCCGTGCTGAGTGCTAAACTGGAGGATGTGGTGTCCTCGATCCAAAAGAATAAAGTGTGCATTAAGGTGAGCGTGGACAAGATTATATATTATGTCAAATTCTAACAGATCTCCTCTAGGGTGTTTTGGCCACGCCCGACTACAGCAATGTGGGTGACCTGCAGACTTTAAACATGAAGCTCCGCAATGATCTCGACCTCTATGCCAATGTGGTGCATGTCCGGAGTTTGCCCGGCGTTAAGACACGCCATACTAACATCGATACTGTGATCATCCGTGAGCAGACCGAGGGCGAGTATTCGGCTTTGGAACACGAGTCTGTTCCCGGAATTGTGGAGTGTCTGAAGATCGTTACCGCCAAAAAGTCCATGCGTATCGCCAAGTTTGCCTTCGACTATGCTACAAAGAATCAGCGCAAGAAGGTCACCGCCGTGCACAAGGCCAACATCATGAAGCTGGGCGACGGCCTCTTCTTGCGCTCCTGCGAAGAGGTTTCCCGGCTCTATCCCCGCATCCAGTTCGAGAAGATGATTGTGGACAACACGACCATGCAGATGGTCTCTAATCCCAACCAGTTTGACGTTATGGTCACTCCCAATCTCTATGGCGCCATTGTGGATAACTTGGCCAGTGGTCTCGTTGGCGGTGCTGGTGTCGTGGCTGGTGCCTCCTACTCCTCGGAGACTGTGGTCTTTGAACCGGTAAGGAAATTCTTGAATAGATAACCAGAACTACAAGAAATCCGCTCTACGTACTTTTATTTAAATCCGATTTCTGATTGCAGGGAGCACGTCACACCTTCGCCGAGGCTGTGGGCAAGAACGTGGCCAATCCCACTGCCATGCTGCTCTGCGGCGTGAAGCTGTTGCGCCACATCAACCTGCCAACCTACGGCGAGATCATTCAGAATGCCATCAACAAGGTTTTGAAAGATGGCAAAGTACGTACTAAGGATCTGGGCGGACAATCGACCACGCAGGACTTCACCCGCGCCATTATCCTGAACATGTCTTAGGCCGTGGACACCACTGTTATCGCCAGCGCGATCAGCAAATCGTCTCCATCGTGGGCAACAACGTTGGCACTTATATATTCAAACATTAGACAGCTTCTGTTGTTGCCACAGCTAAATTTAAATTGTTGAAAACAAAGCACACACCTTAAAAGTTAATAGTTTCCTTGATGTCCAATCTTTTTTTATTTGTACCAATGTCTTTTGAGTATTATTTCTGGCGAATATTTAAGTTTAGTCCAATTGAAACGCCCCCGAGACCCGCCCCGAATCCAAAATCGCGAATCCTTTAGTTTTACCAATTGGCAGTAATACATTGATCCTTGATTATGTTGTAATTATTTACGTATTATTTTTCCCTTATTTTGATTTTTGAAATTATCCAATTTTATAGCCGAAGCATACTTTATGTTAACATTGTTAAAAAAACAACAAAAAAAAAAAAAAAAACAAATGATATTGCTAAACCAATTTAACTGATAGCGGACGGCTTTGAGTGGACCCACTCCACTGGAGCTGTGAGAATGATAACAATAAACTCAAATCTAAATTAATTATTATTTAAAAGCCAATGTCAGTTTGAGCTGTCTAAATTTTAAGTAATACAAACAAAAGAAAAACAAAAATATTTTATAATTTTTCTTTGTGAGCTATTATCATGGATGAGGATGTCTTAGCAAGGCAGCAGTTGAGCGACCAATCTTTCTGCAGGCGTCTGCAAGCTTTCTTGGACAGTGACTAGATTGGTTACCTGTAAAGTACTCAGGAAAAAAATTTCTAATATTTCCCAATGAATGAAAGAAAGAGTTTTCCCAATGCTAGGAATTTGGAGTATATATCTCTGATAATATAACCCTTTGTTTTCAAATCCTAATACCTAAACCAAATTCAGATTTTTTTAGAAAACCAAATACCAATTTTATAGAAAACTCGAAATAAAATATAACCAAAATACCAAACTTAGAACACCAAATGTGATGGAAATGATTCTGGAGAGGCTCTGGCCTCTTCCATAGCATATTATCCGCCCTTCGGCTTGGCCAGCTCGATGAGTCGTGGTGAGGCCTTGGCTTTCAGGGCCGCCGGTGATATAGCAAACGGATTCTCCCGGATGTGTGTGTTCTCGAACTCCTTGGGCTCCGCCAGCTCCTTGATGCGCGTGCTCGGCTTGTATTTTAGGGCATTTGGGGCTATACCAAAAGGATTCTCCTTGACATCCGTCAGTCCCTGGTTGGCATCCCGCGAAGTCAGCGGTTCGGACATCTCCTTGATACGGGCACTCGCTAAGGGAGGAAAGTAAGTAATCATTTTGAATAAATGAATAAATGAAATGGAAAATTGAGGAATTTCTGGAATATTTATGATTTGATGTACTTACGCTTGTAGCGTAGGGCATTGGGCGAAACCTTCTCGGGCGTCTCGTTGATGTGGACATTCTCTCTCACTACTGGCTGGGATATTTGCTTGATTCGCTTGCTTGCCTTGTAGTCCTTCAGCTGGGAGGTCAGCTCCCATTTGGGCTTGATCTCCTCCAAGTAGGCCTTGGGACTTGCCAGTTGCTTTAGGCGCGCATGGTCGTATTCCCCAGCTCCTCGTTCCTAAACAAAATAGTATTATTAATATTACCTATATTATTAAATATTTTGTATTTATCATTTACGAGTTTTGGAGGCTTTGGTGTTTTTTTCGGTTCTGCCAATTTTTCGATATACTTTTCGTGGCGAGCCAACTGCTTTTCCGTCTTCTTCTTTTTCTTCTTTCTAAAATTAGCAGAAAATTAGGGAAATATTGATATTAACATCGTAATATAAAAAAAAATTACTAGATTGTATCTAAAACTTACGGCTTAACCAGTGGCTGGGTATTCGCTAGGCGACTGTAGAGGGATAGATAGCTGTAGCGGAGCCACCTGTTTAGGATGGACTCGCCGATGGAATCTCCAGCTAGAATGGCTGTTCTTCGCCGTTGGAGGAGACGGCGGACCGTTGGCAGAGCCAGTTGCTCGGTGCGGGTGTGACTTTGAGCATCGCAAGGACGAACCATTTCGATGGACTTGGGAAAGAGACAGGCACATTTGGGCACATAGCGACAATAGCGACGAACTGGAATGGCCATCTCCATTAGCCGGCGACGCTTGACAAACATTCGTTTATGGCGCCGCATCAATTGGTTTAGCTCCTTGCCTATATCCTTCACGAAACACTCGGCATCGTAGGGTATGGGATCCCGGATAGGACAGCAGTCCGGACGGACACAGTCTTTTAGCTTCAGGCAGGTGGTGACCTCCGGGCTGAGATCACACTTTAGTCTCTTGATGGTCATTCTAAAGGTTTCCGAATTTGGCGGGCTTAACTTTGCAAATCAATTTAATTTGGTTTGGTTTTTTTTTCTCTTTTTTTATAAAAAACATTTACTTATATCTGAACAAGTCGAAATTTTTGTAGGATTTGAATAAAATTTCTGATTTGACAGAAAAGGGAATTTTTTTTTTGGTTTCTGGAAATTTGAAAATAATAGTAACTCCATTAAGTCTTAAACCATTTTATATAATAGTACCTTGACCCTTTATAATCCGATTTGAAAGAAAACAAGTTCATAATCTTTAATTAATGTTTTATTGACAGTATTCATAAAAATACTGAGAGTATGCTCCAAGTTCACATCATTACAAGTTAATAGTTTTGTTTGGGGGTTTGTATTTCCTCTGTCCCTCCTCCTGCAAGTTTAGTTTGGTTTTTTTATGACAGTTATTGTATACACCTGCTATATTCTTGTTTCATTCTGTTCACATATACACAAATCTTAACTTTTCCTTAAGCAATTCTTTTTGCCCATATCTCCTTGTCATCCTCAACTGACTGGTCTGTTTTTTGTTTTATACTTTTTTACAATGTTTTTGCCATACATTTGAGTGTTAGGTTTCGAAATGTTTTACTTTTGTTTAGTGTCAGCTTTTTCTTGTTTGTTTGTTTGTTTTTGCAATTCAATTGGAATTCAGCAGTTCAGCACATGTTTTTCTTCTCCGTTGTTGTTGCTTGTTGTTGTTCTTTCAATATTATTGGCTTCGAATTTAGGTATTTAGATATTGTTTGGTTTACAAACAAAATAACTATAAAAACTAAAGTGATAGGCATAATGTTAATAATAATAATTGTTATACACTCACATCGAACTTATGCAATACACTCATACATACACAAATATGTACTATAAATTTGAATTTAGCATTTACTAGGTCGTTTTTTTTTTTGTTGACAAAAATTTTGCTAATTTGAATTTTTTCGTTATTTTCTTGTTTGGTTGTGTTTTTTTTTTTTGTTTCTTAGTTTTCTTTTTCCGTCATTTGATATTCGATTTGTGTGTCGATTTATTATTCTTTTTTTATGTACACAAAATGTTTACCGCCAAAGCGAAATAATAATTAGATCTATGTAAATTAGTGGGTCTCTTTCATTGCCATCGAAATATGTTTGTTTTTGTTTTTACACTTAATCGATTTTTGTTTAGTTTAAATTTTCCTTGCATATCGTATACATTTTTTTGATCTTAGAAATACAATTTTAATCAGAATTTATCCAAAGTTTGCCTTGCCTTGCCTGAAGTATTTTCTGCATTTCGATATTTTTTGTTTGTTCCTTTAGATTTATTTTTGACACGTTAAATATATATAATATATATATATATATATATAGTTTACCAAAAGGGTTGCTCCTGCTTTTATGTACACACACATACGATTTTTGGGTTTGCATAATTTAGTTTAGTAGTTTCACAATTTTTTGGATTTTGATATTTATTCTCGCCTCTCAAGATATGCCTCAAACTTTAGTTTTTAATTTAGCAGTGTTCTTTTTTTTGTTATTTAATTTCTGTTTAAATCATTTCTCCTTTAGTTGGTCCCTGAAGCTGTGTTGAGTTTAGATGTACGATTCCTTTGGCTCGTCTGTGTTAGTTAGTGCCTTTCTAGATTTTGTTCTTGATTTTGGTTCGGAATATTCCAAAGTGGGTTGGAGCCAAAAACAATTCTCGAAAGTGGTGAGAGTCAAGAACTTAAGAAGTGAACTGAAAAATTGAAATTAAATTAAGGAAAATAAAGTTTCAATTGCCTTTTGTTGTTATTCTGTTTGTTGTTGTTGTTGTTGTTATTGTTGGTAATTGCATCTTGTTGTAACTGCCAATTGTTGTTGCTCATCATCTTGCATGTGAAAATGGAGCAAATATTGGCCATGTTAGAAGGGTTCTTAAGCTCCTATCACGGCCAATATTTACTTTGGGCTATTGTTTAGTTTATTCGTATTTTTCTGTCATCTGTCAATTATAACTATTGCATATAATGGTATTTAAGTAGCTTGTTGCAATTGTTAGACTGTGCTTAATTTAATATTCATATTTCTTTTTTTTTTTCACTTATTTTCTGCAATGTGTGAACGGAAAGCCTCCTTTGGTGTTTGTTAATAAATCAATTCAAACGAAAAAACACAAATTGTTTAACTAAAATATTTTTCATTTTTATTAATAAACGTTTAATTCGTAAATATATATTGTATATATCTGGTTGTTTGTTTGTTTTTTTTTTGCGTTTAAAACATAATAAGTAAATAATAAAGATAACGAAAATTATAAACTTAAACTAATGTGTGTGTGTCTGTGTGTGTAATATAATAACAATTATGCACGCCTTACTAAACAGAATTTTTGTTTTGCCTTTGCTGTTGTAAAATATATTAATTTAAGGTTTACAATATATTTGTTACATTTACTTTTGTGTAAATCAAATTAAGCGAAATTCTTGTATTTTATGTTTATAAATTACTTAGAAAAATTAAACATATTTATTTTGGATTTCTTTTCTAACGCAGAACAAAGTAAATTTCACATCTTTTGCTGCAGTTTTTTAAAGTTTTTTCTTCACTTTTTTGTTTTCTGTTTTTTTAAAAATCTCTCGGTTTTTTTCGTGTGTCTTAGCTTTAATGCTAAATACACTTGCTGTACTTATGGGCTATTGCTAATAATAATGCGAATTTTTTTTATTTGTTTATTGGCTTTTGTTTTCCACTTTCAAAAAAAAAAAAGAGTCGTTTTTCTTTTTAAATTTTGCAGTAATTAGTTAAATGCAAAAAAACATTGTTTTTCTGCTATGGTTTTTGTATTTTAGTTTACCAAAAGTCTAATTTTATGTATTGTACTTACATCAGTTTGTTTGTTTGTTGTAAAAATAATGAAAAATATTCTCAAAACTTTTGCCTGGCTAAGATTTAAGTTTTCTGTGGTTGCTTTTGTTTTTCTCTCGCTTTTTTTTTTATTTAGTTTTACTGCCAATTGCTTATAACTATTGAAGTTGTTGTTGTTTTGTTTAATGGATTGATTGATTGATTAATTATGAATATTATTTTTCTAGGGCTATTGTTGTTGTTGTTGTAACTGTAATTGTGTGGAGCTGCTGTAGTGTTTAAAAGTTAATAATTGAAATAAAAATTGGTTTTTGTTTTCGTTTTTTTTTATATTATATTATCGATATAATTGTTTGTTTGTTTTTTTTGCCTTTGCAGTTCGATTTGTTGCTGCTTCTTTTTTCCAATTTCCGGTTTTACGATTTCTGATTCTATTGTTTGGCTATGATCGATCCTAATTAAGTGGCTATTGTATCGGTTATGTCGGCTATGAATACAAATCTGTTTTGAAGAAACGGTTCTGCGTGTGTGTGTGTTGTATCTGTGTGTATTCTTTTCGGGCTTCTCTGTTAAAGTTAATTGCTGTGGCTATTTCTAGTTACTTGTGGCTATTTAAGTTCTGTAGTAAGAGTAGTACTATTGTTTAATAAAATTGTGGTTTGCTGTTGTTTGTTGGTTGGTTGTATTTGTGGATAGAAAAAAGAAAAGTACAATCGACTTTAGGCTGTTGTTGTTTTGGATTTTATCTGAGCTTTTGGATAGATTTATTATCCACTTTTTGTATATTAATTAATTAGTTTTTATTTGATTTTTTTTTATTATTCAATTTTTGTTTCAATTATTTTCGGGCTATTGTTGGTGGTTGTTTGTTGGTTGTTGTCTGTGCTGGGCTATTGTTTCTTAGCATTTTGTTTCGCTTGTTCTTGTGATCTTTGCTGATCTTAAGTTGTTTGGCGGTCGCTCAAGTTGAACTTAGGAGAAAAGTTTTGAGTTTTATTTTTTCTATTTTCCTGACCTGTGATGTCTCGTTCTAAATAATGAGAATGTGAAGAATTTCCTTTATATTTTTATTTGTTATTTTTTCTTATTTTGTTTTGTTTTGTTTTTTCTTTTTGGATTTAAGCGTGCGCATAATAATGGAAAACCTAGGCATAGTCTAACTGCTATTTAAAAGAGTTTATGTGCACTTAAAATGATTTTTGATTTTCGATCCATATGATAGACATATGTATTAATTATTCATCCTTCCTGGCATTCGGCAAAGAAAGCTTGTAAATTATATTAATCTTTAATGTTTAATATATTTGTTGTCGGTTGCTTGGTTTTGTTTGAAACAATTGCACTATAGTTCAAATGATGTTGCCCATTTAAGAAGTCAATAAAAATAGGTTGTAATAATCCTAGTAATAATTAAAAAAGTGGGGAGAATACCATAAAAAAAGTTGTCTAATATGTACAAACCATAAATCGAGGCTAACAACGCGCTAAATATATATATTATTACTCGATATTATAATAATAATAATAATAATAATTAATAGTTATGTTTAATATAATATTTGAAAATAGAAGTTGATTGTTTTATGTGAAGAAATTTTGATTTGCCTACGTTTAGATCATAATTCATAATTAATAATTAATAATTAATAATAATAATAATCGTAATCATTTTATGCGCTAAACTAAACTCGAAAATAATATCTAATTAAATATATATGCACTTATATTCAGCAAATTTTGATTCGCATTGAACAAATTAGATTTTATACACAAATATGAGCAATTTCATTAAGCACGCTAGAAACTCTCTCAATCTCTCTTACATTCTCGCTCTCTCAAAACCGTTTTAAACAATTATTTATTATGAATATATCAAATTTTTTAGCTTGTTTTCTTCTCACGTTTTTGTGTTTTTGTTTTTATTTTTTACAAATATTAACTATTTATGTTGTAGTAAAACAAAGAAAAAGTAATGTATGGGTAATCAATCTTGTTTCTCTCCGAAAAAATAAAACACGTACCTGAGCGTTTTCGCCTGTCCATCTAGTATTTAGATTTAAGGGGGTGTAGGGGACACGCTCCCCCCCTTTTCGAACCCAGATGGACATGCAAAAATTCTATACAATTCAACATTCTCAAGCTGTTACTCAATTACACTCGATTGGTTTTTTGTTTTTTGTTTTTGTGTTTAGACCTAGCACTAGGTTGACATTTCGACTTTCGACTCGGTTTCTGCAGTTAAGATCCTTCGTTAAGGTTTTCTTTATCAAAGGTCCTATATTTCGATTCTGATCAACTTATATAGGACCAAATGCCCATACAGCGCGTTTCAGTTCCTCCTTGGTTTAGGTCAAAGCTAACAAATCAAGCCTGTCTTTTGGCCATGAAACGCACTGTACTTTTTAAGGGGACTTTGCTGTCTGTTTGTGTGAATGTTTTTCTTGGTTTTTCTTGTAAATGTTTCTTGTCATTATCAGTTGCCTTGGAATTTTCATTTTAGCTAAACTTGCTTCGAAATATTTCATCTTTGCTTTAACATGATTTTTTCTTTTATTTTTTTTTTATAACGTTTGTTTCTTAAATTTGCTTATTTAAACCGTATAATTGCACTTTATCTTGTTTTATTATTTTAAGTTTGATTTTCTTTCTTTTTACATCGATATTTTTTGTTTTTAATTTTTAATTCTTTTTTAAATGTTGCAGATTTATAATTTTCTTTTTGTATAATTTCGCATTATAAAAGACGTTTGCTTTATGTTTTTTTTCTGTTTTCTTTTTAGTTTTTAAATTTTGACTTGAACTGGTAAACATTATTCCAAAATATATATACAACTATATATGTTTTCTGAACAGTTTTATCGGTTTTGTTCTCTATTTTCAGTAATCAGTAATCAGTTTTTAGTTTTCTGGTTTTTTTTTTTTAGTGATGTGTGTATGCCGTAGCTTAAGAAATTCTGTTTTTGGCCAAAATGCAAATTACAAATTGCATTTGGCCTTTAGCTTGTGCTTGGTTTAGTTTTGGTTTTTATCCGATCTGTCTACAATTTGTTTTTATTAATGGGTGTGTGTTTTCCTCTTCGTTATCCATTGGTTTTGTCTTTTTGCATATGCCTAGCCAACATTATTTCAGAAAATGCTCTTCAAAATTTTGGATTATTAATCACAGATAGTGTGTCTAATATATATGTATGTATATAATAAATATGTATGTATACTTCAAATATAATTAAATTAGCAATAAATACTTTTTTGATTTATTTCCATCCTTTCTTTACCTACTTTCGCTTACTTTTCTCATTTCATTCTTTTCTTCTTCTCATATAATAAACATTTTCCTTTTAATTCCTTTTGGTTTGCAGAATTTTCCTCTATTATACCAAATGCATAATTTTAATGAATTTTTTTACATTTTTCGAAGCTTTAAGTTTTAATTTTGTTTACCGTTTTTTGGATACTAAACCACAACATTTATGCACATCGAATGTTAATTTTGGAGATTAGCCAGTAAATAGTTTGTTATCCATTCATGGAAATTATAATTATTTTAAATGCCCTTAAATGATTTCAATTTAATAATTATTAAACGCTTTCTCGTTTACCATTTCCGTTTGCCATATCTTTAATTTTAGCTTGTATTATAATTTACTAAATATTTTCAAATATTACCGACAATCTCTGCCCTTCTTTTAAATATATTGTATATCGTTTTTCCTCTTTTGACACTTACTAGCTAGCACACAAAATATGTTTTAGGTACATTTATATATTTTTTTCTTCTATTTTTCATTTACGCAGACATTTAGTTAGTTGTTTTTTTTTTGTTACCCATAGATAGAATTTTCAAAAGTCAAACGAAATTAGTATATAGAAGAGATACGTCGAAAGGAGCGGGGGGGCCAAAGATTAGAGGGGGGGACGATAACTGTGTAAATATGTTTTGGTCTCCGTGTAAAAGAGTGTGTAGAGTGTATATAAGTACATTTAAATATATTTAGTTGCTCAAAATGATCATGTGTTTGGTTTGAGGTATACGCGTAGTGATGAAGACACACACATACATAAATATACAAATATATATATCATATAGTATATAGTAATATAAAGTCTTTATATATTTATGCTTTTCCTTTTTTCTTTTTAGCTTTTGGTGGTTAGGCGACGACTGTACATGAAATGTGTGTTCTCACAAATATTTTTTTCCTTTTTTATTTTTAATTTTAAGCCAAAAATCTTTAAGTTTTTGATATAAATTTCCGTTTTTTTTTTTAAAGCCTAAACACATATAATTTTTTTGTTTATTTTTTTGTATACTTTTTTTTTAACACCGAAACATTTTAATTTTGCTTAATTTAGTTCAATATGTGTGGAATTTGTTAGAAAAAAGAAAATAAATTGTGATTAGAGAATGTTTTGGGATATTTAATTTGTGTGTTTTTTTTAAGTTTTTCGATTTTGCAAAAGAAAAGTTAAATTTTGGGACTGTTTTTTACCTTATTTTGGTATTTTTTGATAATTATTCTGCGTTTGCGTTTAATTTGAATTATTATTTTGTGTGCTCTGTCTCGCTTTTCTTACTAATTTATTTAATTTGTAAATGTGAAGGCAGCTTTGTTTATTGATTTCCGTTTTTGTATTTTCATCTTTTGAAATCATAAAAAATGTTGAATTTTTGTGGTTAATTTTGTTTTGGTTTTTTGTTTTTAACTTTTGAATTTTGCTATTTCTTTGAATTTGGTTTTCGGTTTTCTGTTTTCTGTTTTTCTTTTCTTTTTGTATTGTAGAGTCTTGTATTATTATTGCTTGTGTGTTGTTTGTTGGTTGTTATTGATCGGATATTGATGTTGTTGCTTGTTGTTGTTGTAGTTGTAGTTGTTATGGTCTTTGCTGTAGTTATTGTTGTTGCTGTTTGTTGTTGCTGTTGTTGGCTATATACTCATTCTGTCTATGTCGAAGACGACTGCCTGGGGTCCTGGCCCTGTACGAGCTGAAGCTCTAACTTCTATAGAGATTGGTAAGGAAATCTTTGTAGAAAATTGTGTACACTATGGAACATAAGAGTATGTCTTATGGAATGTTCAAAATATCCCAGCTCAAGGGCCAAGAAACCTAACCAAACAGAGGCCGTTTAAGAGTTGTTGGCTTGTAACTGCTTTGCTGATTTCCTGTTGGCTATATATTTCTGCTATATATCAATATATATATTTTCCCATTGGACTGCTGTTTCTGTTCAATTTAAAAAAAATATATATTTTAACACAAATATGCGGCTTAAAAAACAAAAAATGCAAAATGAAAATGGTTCTTGGTTTTGCTCAGTATTTCTTCTTAATTTTTTTTGTTTTTTGGTCTTAAGGTTTTTAGAGTTTTGTTTTTTTTGTTTTTTGTTTGCTTTTAAGAAAGTTTGTACAAGAGAATGCCTATTTGTCGATTGTCAAAACGAAACAAAAATATACATTGTACACTCCGGGGCACAAATGTATGTGTTTGTTTGCTTGCTGTTGTTATGTTTTTTGTTTTGCTTTTCATTATTTGTTTATGTTCTTCTCCTATGCAGTTGATTACACATTTAACTAAGAGCTAGCGCACATTTACCACCTCGTTCAGCTGGCTGGCATATATATCTATATATATATATATCTTTATATATATAGTATTTTGTATGGTACTATCAAAAAACGTGGCATAATTTGGTGTTTACACTCCATCTCTAGAAGCTGTAGTAGTGGGCGGCCAGCGGTGGCCAGGCGAACGCTGGATTCGTGGCCATCGGCTGCTCCTATAACTGCTCCGCCTGATCCAACTGCTCGGCCTTGATCTGGGCCAGCTTTTCATGCAATATGGATGTGGTATGTCCGGGACTGTGTCCAGTTGCCTGTGTTCCCGCCTCCGTTTCGCACTTGATGTGACTGCTGCTGCTGCCATTGAGATCCATGATTTTGTGGTTTTGATGGCCGCCACTTTCGCCGCTCTTCAGGCTGCTGGCATCCGTTTCCGAATCATCCCGCGACGTCATCCGGCTGCTCCTCCCATTTCCATTGGCCTGACCATTGCCACCTCCTCCGCTCTTGTTCTTGTTGTGCGCCAGATCACTGTTGTTGTTGTTAATGTGACTGGCCGAGTGTTCCTCGTCACTGCTGCCTCCGCTATCCGCGCTCAATCTTTCTCGCTTAATGTCCGCATAGCTACCCATCGGACTGCCCGATCGCTTGACACTCTCACCACTGGCACTTGAACAGGTGGCGGCATAGTCATTGTTCCGATGATTGGTGAACGGCAGCGGAGTCTTCTTCACCAGCAACTGATCGAGCAGGCCATGACCATTGCCATTGCTACTGCTGCCATTGCCCGTGGAACTGCCATTACCGTCGTTCGACTGCAGCGTCTTCCTAATGATGCCATCATACATGTTCTCCATCTCCTGGGCGCTCTTCATAAGCCCGTGATGATTGCTGGCCTGGGGATTCGCACGCATCGCCTCCGTAATCCGATTGAAGTCCAAGCCGTAGGCATTGGTGGCACTCGGCTGGGGCCAGAACATGTTCGGTTGAAAGGACAACTGCTGGGGACCGGCTTCGAAGATGGGCAGTTTCAGGCCATTTGGCGTGGCAGCGGCCGCTGCTGCTGCTGCTGCCGCCGCCGCCGCTGCAGCCTGATTGTTTTGGTTCTTAAGGGCGTTGCTCAGCTTGGATCCACCATGTGGTCCTGCCTTCAGCTTGTCCAGTTGCAATTTGTTGGCTGGTCCCGTTAGACCCACAAGATCAGGTTGCGGCTTGGGCTCTCGCTTGCGCGGTCTCATCAGATGACGCTCCTTGACCTTGTACTCCAGCGTGGAGTGGGGTACGCCATAGTAACTGCCCGCTCGATGGACCGACATTTCACCTCTTTGTACCGCCTTGACCGCTTCCACCAAACTATCTCGGTCATAGTTGCGGTATTTGCCCCTCTTTGGCCTTGTTCCCTTGCCCGCCGCCAGAGCAGCTGCCTCCTGGGCACTCAATTGTTGCTGCTGTTGCTGGTGGCTCAAATGGTGACCCGGATGATGTTGCTGCGACAGGAGATTGGGTGATGCACCAAAACGAGAGGTATCTGTGCCACCAATGATCTTGGCCACCGAAATGCTTGGTTTCTTGTAACCCAACGAGGAGGAGCCACCATTGTTGCTGCTGCAATCGCTGGCATTGCCGTTCCTGAGGCTGTCCTGGCCGCTCTGCTCATTGATCTGTCGCTGGATATTGCTGGCCATCATCTTCTGGATGCTAGACGAGGACGAGGCTAGCAAACTGTTGCCGGAGTAACCACCTTGGGCAACGGCAGCTGCCAACATGGGCGATGCGGAATGGGGACTGCGATTGCTGCCGTTTCGATGGCTGTTGCTGCTGTGGTTGCTATTGTTGCTGATGCTGAGGCTGTTGTTGTTGTTCAGCGGATGATGGTGACCACTAGGACCTAGTCCGCCCGGCGAAAGGCTGCTGTTGCTGGCCGGACCGCTGACCTTAAAGGACGGAATCTTCAGTATGGGATCCTCATTGGCATCGTTGGCATCCAGCGAGGAGTTCGTTTCCGGAGTCTCCGATTTGGGCAGGCGATGTCGATAGGCGGCGATATTATGGTGCTGCTGATGATGTTGCTGTTGCTGCTGTTGCTGATGTTGTTGCAGCAGCAACGAGGCATTGCCATTACTGTTCTCCTGACTGGCGGACAGCAGACTTAGCAGTCCCTCGTTCATAATCCCACCACTGTTGGCCACCAGCAGACCCTTGATCAGATCGCCCACCGTCTGTGATTCGTCTAATTTGGGCATAACTCCAATCCCTGCTGCCACCATCAGTGTGTGCATCAGGACAGTGGCATTCATTGGAATGGTGGGCATACCACCTTGATTAGCACTGGCATTGCCACCCCCCGCATGTCGCCCCATTTTCGGTGATCCTCTATCCAAATCCTCGCCCAGATCGCTGCCATTGTGCTCGGACAGGTGGCTCAATTTACGGATTTGCGCCCTCGCAAAATCTGTTGGATATGATGGTGCCGGAGTCGAGGCATTACTGTCCACCTCCGCTTCACCATCATCGTTGGAATCCTCGGGCTCCTCGCCATCTGGATCCTGATCAAGATCGTGTTGCATTTTAAACAGCCGATTGACCAGAATGGATCGCGGCACATGGTGCTGGCTGGCCGCCTTGCGGGGTCCCAGCTTGTTGGCCACCACATCCTGCAGCGCCCTGTTGAGGTCCTCCTCGCTGTACGCTCTTCTTCCCGACGGCGTGGGTGTGACACAAGCTCTGTAAGAGATTGGGGGGAAATATTGATAAAAATTTGAAATTTAAGGTTTTTGCATATATGTTTCCTTGGTAAAATTGTTACTATTATTAACTAAAATGGCTTATCTGTTAACAAACATTTGTACTTAAACCGAAAAACAGCTAAAAAAGTGATGATTAGCTTGTTATTGATTTACAGACGTCATATTTTTTTATAGCCACTCAGGTGTGGCGATAAGATACTATTTTTCTGACATTTCGGTTTGGATTTTCCTCAAAATGTTTAGACAATAAAAAGCCAGGCAAGCAATCTCACCAGCTAAAAAGTCAGCAAGTCAATCAACTTTTATCTCCCGGCAATTTTCGTCAGTGGGTTTTCGGTTTTCGAGGGTAATATTTTTTGGCAGCACCATCAAAGAACTTGACAGCCACTTCCCTTTTTGGCTTAGTAGAAAGCACTTCTTTTTCTTTTTTTTGGGCACTCTCACATATACACCACATTCATACACTCACACCACTGCGACTAATACAGAGACAGGGGCACTCGAGAGGACTGACAATGAGTGCTTCTTAAATGTCTGCAGCAGGCAACGGGGAAAAGACGACACTGGTGTCAAAGGCAAAGCCAAGGATGCTTTTCCTCTCTTTTTTTTTTTCCTTCCCATTTCGGTGGCCATTTTTTTCGGGACAAGACAAAAGATGACAAGTTGGGGGGAGTCTGGCCGAGGAGCTGGAGATCGGTGTGGGCGGGCTGCTTGGAGTTTGGGTCCAAATATGTTTTTGAAGTTCATTAGACGAATCCCGAAAAATAAGAAAAACGAAAAGAGACATTCTCCAGAATGGAAGAAAGAATAAACATTTTTCACTTAATACCAGCGTGAGCGTGAGTCCAAGCGCCTTTCCTTCCACTCCCCCACCAACTCACTCATCAGGAAGAGGTAACTTTTGTTTTCCGACAACAACAAAGGGGGAACACTGAGGAAAAGTAGGGGTATACATTAAGGATATTTCGGTTGAAATGATTTATTTTTATCTTTTGCTATCGTTTAAGGGATTTATATCTTTTAAGAATTTTTATTTACTCTTTTTTAGACTCTTCAAAAGTTTGTATAAATAATAGTTTGAAAAAAGTCAAAGGAGAATCCTTTTTCATTGCTGGCTATTGTCTTTACTTCTTGATATGATATGATGATTTTCTGTAAATCTTTAGATGTTTCCAAAACTGTATATACTGAACTTCCTTTCGAATCCTCTAATTTTTTACGAGTGCCAAAGCTGCACGAAATATTTCTTTTCTTTATGCGCAACCAGAAACGAGACGAGCTCGAGACCCTTTCTTGTTTTTTTCCTCCTTTTTTTCCGTGGGCGGCTGGGGACATTGCACCGGCAGAGAAGGAGGCGTGGCAGGTGGAGGGCAGGAAAAGGGGGAGGTAAAACGCAACGCACAGCTTCTTTGGCGCCCTTCGCTGAGGGCTGTGGCACAACAGGAGGCGGCCCTGGCAAAAGTTGATGGCAAAGTCATAGCAACTTTTTTACGTTTTTTTCTGCTTTTTTGCCACCTCCTACCCCCGTGCCCCATGCTTATTTGTTTCGGAGTCCTTGCGCGTCTGGAAAATGTCTGAAAATTGTGCAGACAACATACAAAAAAAAAAAAAAAAAAAGAAAAAGAAAAATGCAGGCTAGAGGAAGAACACGAAGAAGAAGAGCCAAGCGAAAGCTGCAGCAGGTGGCAGTGAATGTTAAACTGTATGATAGCTGATGGTTTTATTTTTCGGTGGCAAGAAGAAGGGAAGCGGGAGGGAGGAGGGGCAGTTAAAACGAAGGGCGGGCAAGTGGAGGCGTGGCCCCGGCTGACCGTAAGTGGATTGGGCTGTGGGCGGTGGCATCATCATTAATGGCGACAGTTTTTCGCATTTTTGCTCATTTTGCATATACAAAATAATTTCCCCAAAAAAAAGGACCAGAGGAAAGGCGAAAAAAATTTGCATAATTGCGCAGAACCAAAAAAAACACGGCAGGGGGTGGTGGGTGGGTGGTAGGCAGATGGCGGGATGGGAATCCCCCTTGCAAAAAGGATGGCAAGCGCGAAAAATAAATGAAAAATGTCATTTCAATGTCGTTTGGATTTTTTCGTTGGTGTCGTTTACCTTTTGGCTGCACTTCAATTGCAATTTGCCATTGCAACAGCCGTCGCTGCTGCAGTCGACGTCGCTGCCGTTGCTGCTGCAGCATTTGTTGTTGTACAACATGCCTGCATTTGTTGCCGCCTTTGTTGTTTTTGCCTTGCTGCACACACGCATGTGAAGAGCATTCATTTGCACCCGAAAAAAATGAGGAGAACCTCAAACCCTTTTTTTCGCAGCTTTTTTTTTCCACTTTTTCCGTTGGCGTTGCAATTTTTCTGACATTTTGTTTTAATTTGTGGCAGCGCCAGCAAAAGGGTTGATTTTTTTTATGTTCGCCTATGTGTGTGTGTATGTGTGTGAGTGTGCGTGTGTGCAGTTATCCTTTTTTTCGCATTTTTTGACGCAACTGAAATGCATTTCCTTTGCTGTTGCTGCTGCTGTTGTTGTTGTTGTTATGCGCATATTGCATTTTTGTCGGTTCATCCCACACCTTTTGTTTGCTTTTGATTATACGTACATAAGTTAACATACATGCAACACACACCCAAAACATACTCGCACACCCCCTACAAATGTTGGTTATAATTTTCGGTTTATTCGGAAAGAGAGACATTTCTTGTTTTTTTTTTGTATAAAAAAATAAAATGTTTCTGCTTTAACAACAATTATATTTGGCCAGGTAATTGTGCAAACACGTTAATTGAGGTATGTTGCCAAGGCAGAGGTCAAGCCCATTGTCAGGAGAAATTAAGGCGGAGAATGTGATAAAGGGCTGTCCTTATTAATTACAATTTGCATAAATTTGTGATGAATAATGGAATAGGTAAGGGATTTTATATTCTGATTTTAAAGAGACAAATTTGTATTGTTGTTTTATAATGAGAAAGAAATTGAAATCGCTAAACATAATAGCAAACTTTTAATTAAAAACTAAACTTTCTTTAGTGAAACATAACATTATTTTTTTGATTTTGCAGTAACCTAGTTTGGTTTTATAGTTTTCCGCTAAGGAAATGGCTACCAAATGACTTAAATATTTCGTAGATTATTCTCAAACTGTTGCTATCCTCAAATTAATAATAACTTCTATTAAACTTCTGATTTTTATTTCGATTTTTGGCATTTAAATGCAGTTTTTAACTTTTTTTGTGTGTCTTTCGATTCGGTTGCGTGTTTGGTGGCCGCTAAATATGCCAGGGGCGTAGCTGAGGGGCTGGCTGGCATTTCACTAGAGGAATGGAATGTGGGGTTAATGGTTAAGGGGCTGGGGCTAGAAAAGGGGGAGGTGGGGGCGTAGGAGCGAGACTGGGTAGGGGGCAGCAGGAAGCCGGTGCCGTTGGCTCCGACGGGCGCACAATGCCGTCAACTGTCCCCCGTTCCAGGCAGGCATTTTTTGTGTGTGCTCGAAATGTATGTGCGTGTGTGTGTATGTTGACAACGTCGAATGCAATTTTGTTAAAAATGCATTAAGTGCATGTGTGTGTGAGTGTGTGTGTGAGAGTGTGTGTGGGTATGAATGCAATTGCATGTTTGTTTTTGTTGCCAATGCAGTCCGCCCCACAGCGCCTACACTTGATGCGTGCGCAGCGAGCCCGCCACCCCCTTAGCCACCCTTTCCCTCTACTCCCCCACACACACTGACATACACACATACTTGTGCATACATCAACCCATACAAGAGCCCAAACTCTCACACACACACACACATATTCGTACATTCATTGCAGTTGCATTTTTTCGGAAGATATGCACTCATTTTTTTTCGTCGACGCTGCTGCCGACGTCAACGCCGCTGCAGCTCCATTTTTGTATGCACTTACTTTATTTTTGTTTCTATCTCGCTCATTCACTCACGCATATATCGGCAATCTACCTGATTTACACAAAAAAAGGCGCAAAAAATGTGTTCTTAAGGACCTTGTTATACCCTGTATTTAAACAAGATTAATAACTACTTAGTAGTTGAAAATTCTTTTTGAAACTGTTAATAAAGAAGTGGAGATAGGAATATTCATTACTTTGCTTTTAAATTATGCAATTTTAATTTTAACATTTAAATTAGAATTTTAAAACCTAATTTTAGATGAGATGGTAAAGCAATCTTGTTTTCTTAAGCTCCTCACTTTGGAACTACAGAGGAATAAAAATTGTATTACCAAAATGGTAATTTCAGATAAAATATCATAAGAGATGAACCGTTCAGCTTAATACTAATAAGATATTTAGTAAGCCAATCTCTTCTCCTAAGTATTTCTTACCGTTATCTCCTAAAATATTAGATAAAAGTATATAAAAAACCTTCTTGACCCCAAATAGCTCTCAAATCGAGCAATCCCCATTAAAGCAACAATTCAACACTCATTGAAATGACAAAAATATGGAAAAAATAAGTAAATGAGAGTGGTAGAGGGCACGGAAAGGGTGGGGAAAATAAAATAATGAAATCGTATGGGGGAGGGAGGGTGGTAGATCCATGAAACCGTTAAAAAATTGCTGCCCTGCAACAATAACAGTCGCAATGGCCAGTGCACGCATTAACCTTTTGTTGTACTTGCTCTTCTTGTTGTTGTTGTTGTACCTTATATATTTCGCTTATTTCTTTTTTTTTTTTGTTGTTGCACTTTTTGTTGTTGTGTGTATTTTTTTGGGGCCAAACGCAGCCAACTGCGCTGCCAGCGTCGACGTTGTCGTCGTCACTCTTTGCCAGTTATTACGTTCGCAATCTCTCTCTTTCTGGGTATTTTTTTTTTGGGGTCGGTGTGTGCGTGGGGAGAATTTTTCGTAAACGAAAAATAATGAATATATACCAAGCGACAATCCCTCGGCCACCAAACCCTCCAGATCCCTTTCCACCATCCACCTCATCCTTAACCCGCCGAAAGTGCATAGAAAAAAGTAGCAAAGAAGAAAGACCAAAAATACGAAAAAACACTGACACTGTTACACTGGGAGAAAAGGTTGAAAAAAACTAAAAATTTAAGATTTTTTTTTTATACCAGCTACTTACTATTAACCCTTTAAACCCCTAGATCTGACCCTTTAGTCTAAAAAATAACGAAATAAAAAGTTTACTAATAACTTTTTAGCGCAAATAAAGGTGGGATTGAAGATCTTCATTGATCGATTTTTGGATAATTAAACTTTTTAAAATAAAAAAAGTATTTAAACGTTATTAATTAAATAATTATTTTTCTCACTGAACACACACACACATAGAGAAAGTAAAACGCAGCTTGCAAAAAAAAAGCGATCGATATGATGCACTCATTTTTGTCTGCTGCGCTGGGCGACGGCGACGTCGCTGCCTCAGCTGCTGCTGCTTCGAGGAGCGACGCCGTCTCATCATCCTCGGCATCAGCAGCCTGAAAAAAATCTGTAATAATAAACGCTTGACGAAAAAAAAACTCCAAAAATTGCAGCGTCAGTGGCTTTTGTGCTTCAAGTGGTTTGATGGTCTGAGTGGGTTGCAGAGTGGGTGGTGGTAGGTGGGGTCTAGGGTGTAGGGTGTTTGGTGTGGGCTTGGGTCTCGGTCATCTGGTTGGCCCCCATTGATGAACACTTTGGTCGATCGTTGTCTAATGCTTTTCCCTTATACCAAAAACCGGCACAACAAGCTTGTGTTAAAATATTTATGAAAATTTAAGAAAGTCTTTATTGTTAAAAATAGGGAAAGGCTTTAAAGGTTAAGTCAAATTCGTTAAAGAGTTTTCAAAAGGTCTAGAGCCGCTATAATATACTTTTGCCGTTCTTTCCTTTTTGTTTTAAACGTTAAATAAATCCGATAACAATATTCTGCTTTTAAGAGATAACTCATAAAATTCAATAGGTAAAGCCCATTCAATTGATATCCAAAAAATATTAACACTATTAGGAAGTAATTTATGATTTTCGTAAATATTTTAAAATATAATAAAATCATAACCAACACAAAGTCTAACAAATTGAAAATTAATGAAGTATTAACTTCAACATTTTTCATAGAATTTTTCATAACAACTTCAACTTTTTATCGAGCCAACTCCTATACTTTCTTAATTTTCATACTTTTCCTGGTTTTGCCTTTCCTTGGTTATCGTCTTCTAACTTGCCATGTCCCTATCGCTCCTTTTTTTCCACTTCCTTTAACCCCCTTATGTATTCATGGTTTTTTGTACATTTTTTTGACACATCCTTCTGGCAGTTTTTTTTGTGTGTGACAATTAAAATAGGTGTACGAGATGGTGCATGGTGTACGACGATGGCGACGGCTGCTAACAAACACTTGGCCATGCTTTAGACAATAGACAAGGACTCGTGCTTTGCGGCTCAAGTGGCAGCCGCCATCGTTGCCACAGTCGCCGGTGCATCAGGCAAGACGGAGGAGGAGGAAGAGAACGAACCAAAACCAAACCAAAAACCTGAACCACAGAAAACAACAAAAAATCCCACCGAAAAAAGTAATGACAAAAATTGTTGGGAAGTGCTGCGAAATTATGCACACGCTCTGTCGTCTGAAGTGCACACCTACACGTACAGAGCTACCTGTAAGCCCAAAGTAATAATAAAAGGTGCTGCTGAACATTTTAGAGTAATTAAAAAAATAGCAGGCAACAAAAAACAAAAAAAAAAAGAAGAAGTCAACCAAAGGCGAATTGAAAAAAGATTGCGGAGCCGCTGAAGGAGTTAAGATGCAGCCGCACACAAAAAAAGGAGAGCGGAATGGAATACATAAATCCAGCATTCTTCTTTCTGCTTACCCATATAATCTTTTCCTTAACTTTTTTCTTCTCTTTTTGTTTTTGGGAGATTTTATGTAAATTTATGCAGCCCACCTGCCTAACGCTGGTAATTAAGCGTGGTTGCAACGGGGCGTATGTGTAATTTTCGGCATCGTTTCATAAACCACACTCATACACACACGTGGCCAGTGATATAATTGCACAATTTTTTACATAGGCTCACAACAATAAAGCTTCAGCTGCCACAGCATCAGCATTTGCGGCTGTAGGTGAGTGTGTGAGTGTGGGCGTGCGGCTCTATGTGTGAGTGGTGCTGCCCCGTTAAGTATGCTACAGTAAGTGCAGTGTCAGAGGCGGCGGGCCAGCGCCCAAAGTGCAATTATCTCATGTATTGTCTGGCACACGATTCGGTGCTTTTTTCCGGTTTTTTTCGGTGAACATTATACCCTACAATATTTTCAGGGTAATTTGGTTTTTTTGGCTATTTTATTGAGGCAAAATTTGTGGAGTTTTTGGTCTAACTAATGAGATTTTTTGTTTATTGAAGAAAATTTAATAAGTAAATCTAGAATTTATGTTTAATATATTAAATCATAAAAAACGGTTTTTAATGTTTAGGAAAACCTTTAAAATAAATCGAATAATCAAGTAGAGCATTGCATATTCGTTATCCTGCCAAAATACAGCTTAATTTCCACCTTTTTTTCTCCTTTTCGGTTTTACATGATTTTCCTCTTTTTTTTTGTATATGTATTGTGCTGGGGGTTTTTTAAATTTTTTTTGGCGTTTGCGCAGATTCCCAGATTTATATTGAATACATGCTTATACATAGGTATTTATGTGCTTTTGCCCCCGTCTCTCGGGGAAGGGGTAACCCCAATTCGGTACTCACCTGACGGACTTCACATCGCCGCTAATCGATGAGTTCGGCGATGGTTTGCTGCTAAGATCAAGCGGTGCATCGGCACTGGGACTGGGCGTATCTTTGAGTGCGGGACTGATTGCGGCTGCAGATACTTCTGAGGTAGTTGGCGTTACCGAACTAGCGATCTGTTGTTGTTGCTGCTGCTGTTGTTGTTGCTGCTGGTGCTGTTGGCTGGCCAGCGAGTTGATCAGATTGATGTCGGCCAGCAGTGAGAATTGAGCCAGCTGGGCGGCCATCGAGTCCATCGATGTCATTTTGCCTGCCCGCTGGGTCAGCAACTTGTACAGTTCGAGGGAATTTGCAGATGTTGCTGCGGCTGCTGCTGCTGCTGCTGCTGCTGGTGTTGCTGTTGCAGCAGCAATGTGGCGTGCCCTGTTGCCAATGCTGCTATTGTTATTGTTGGTATTGTTGCTGCTGCCGCTGCTGCTGTGGTGGGGCAGTGATGCGCTCGAGTTGCTGTCACTGTCGTGCTGCTTGGACAAAGTTTAAGGTTAATAAAAAGTTAAAAGCACTTGCAAAAAAGTAGTAGGAATAAGTTGGAAAATCTTTGAGAATAGGAATTAAAATAATTCAAAATATGAAAAATAAGGAAAGCAAAAGAAAATGTTTAGGATTTAACGAATAAAAAGTTCTTTTATCAATAACAATTTTCCAAAAGATTTTCCAAGCGAAAAAGCTAATATTTTTGGGAAGTGTTTTGAAAGGGCTTAGGTATAGATGACCCACCTGATGAATGTGGCTATTGCTAGTGTAGCTACTAGTGGCTGTTGCTGCTGATTCGGCCACCAATTCGCCCTGGGCGTTAACCGTTAGCAGGCGACCGTTAACACAGAAATTGCACTTGTCCGACGGTCTCCAATCGATGGGTTCTGGCGGTGGTGATGGTGTACTGGTGGCTCCCGGTGTTGCTGTACGTGATGAATCGTGTGATGTTTGGTTGTTCTCTAAGAATATAAAAAACCCATTTAGTAATCCTTGAAGTATCCATATATAATGTATTTTTACGTACCAAAATCTTCTTCCAATAGCAGACTGCCGTTGTGGTGGTGCTGCTCTAGACGGTGGTTCTCTGTTTTACAGTGGTTTGGGTTGCTCTGGCTGCTCTGCTCCTTGCTGTTGTGGTTGTATTGCGGTGGCTCGTCCTCGGAACCGGCTATTGCTATGGGCTGTTGCTCCTCGATATTCAAATGGCTGCGCGTCAGGTGCTCTCGATATTGTTTCCATTGCCTGCGAACCATAAATTCCTCAGCAACGCGTTCTAACCCTGGAAAATTAAGAAGAAAAGAAAAAAGTAGTCAATAAAATATTTAAAAATGTAAAAATTATATTTAAATTTTATAAGTCATTATATTAATCTATCTTAGACATCTCCCAACATATTTGACAGATCTTTTGCACATTTTTGTGACCGCAATGAAAAACAACATTCGTAATTTTCGTAGGAATAGACCAAGCTCCCGAGCATTAATTATTTAAAAAAAGCTCCTGAGCAGTTCAAGAATGTTATGCCAGTTGCATGGCTTAATAGACTATAATTTGCCTAGTGGTGGCAATTAATAAGCCACTTTTTTTCTCTCTTCTTCGGTGGCTCCTGGGAATTTTAGCAGACAGAAATTACTTAATTGAAATGCAATGCCAACTAAGTATAGAAGGAAAATGCATGAAGTAAAAAACAAAAAATACAACAGCAAAAAATGAAAAAGAAATGGCAAATTGTAACGGGTGGACTATACTTAAAAGGGGCACACGCTGCGTATGCGTAATTATTGAATACGAAATGTTTGCGAGTGGAAAATTGATAGATTTGTACTCGAATGTTTGCATTGAGGCGACTTTTCTGTGGCTACATTTCCTTGGCCACACGTTTTGCCTTGGCCAGGTCCGGAGAACTCTAATTGCCGCACAAAAGTTATGCAATTTAATGCAAAATGTGCATTTGGCCTAGAAGGAGTGGGAGAATTTTGTGTGCGGTTGGAGCCTAACCCCGCCACTTCAAGGGGCAGGCATGCGTGGCTCAAAAGCAAAACTTTTGCGCATATGGCAAAAGGCTACGCGTCAACTCACACGAAATGCGAATTAAAGGAGGGCCAGTCGAAGAAGTTGAAAAAAAAAAGAAATTATATACATATGACGGACCAAAAATATTAATTCTATACTATATGTAGACAGAGGGTGGTGGAATCCCGGCATTTTGTAGCATTTTTAGTGCCAAAAAACAAGAGAGGCAGTAAAAAATCTAAGCTTATACTCGTATTTCCAACCGGAAGTTGGCTAGAAGGTGCGTTTTGGTATTTCTAGCACCCAACCCCATGTCCTTGTGGCTGTCCCCTCGTCGTCCTGATTGCTCAGAAGTGCGTGTGTGTTCGGTGCGTGCGTTTGGGGAATGGCAACTTTGGGGGTCTGAAGTGGAGCAGCAGGAGGATTGGGGGACCAACAGCAACGCACTGCACCTGCTCCTGCTCCTGCTGCCGCTGCTCATTCCGGCGCAAAAGTGGAGCGGCATGTTCAAACTTTTCACAGTGTAAAAATTGCATTGCTTTCCCAGCTGCAACGGCAACTGCAGTTTTTTAAGCGCTCAAATAAACAGGGTCGTCGTCGTCATCGTCGTTGTTGTTGTCGTTGTTGTTTTAGCGCTTCGGGGGTTGCGACGTCAACGTTGCGCCACCGCTTTCCCGCCACGCCTTTCCTCCCGACTTTCCACCTGCCGCACGCACCAAAAAAAAGGCGAAAAAACGAGGTGAATGCACGCACGGGACGTACAAAACTCAAACTTTAAAATGCAACCAGTCCACAGACACACGCCTGCATTTTGTCGTTAAAAAATTCAGCGAGCACGAAAAGGGATCTGCACGATACCCAAATGCTCTTCAAGAAGCACATTGCCCTAAAATGGGATCTAAGATTATAGATTATAGTAGATGATATAATAAATCAGAAAAATTACTTCATAAACTAGAAAATCTTTCATTAAAGTCATTTGTTATCGTTTGTATTATTCCATCATTTAATTTTTGGAATATACTTTTTAACGTTTTTCATTACATTTTCCATAGATTTCTTTTTCCACTCTCTAATATTTTTAAATAGCAATCATTATCCCTTGAAAAAATCTATAAAATATCTAAAAAAAACAAAGGTTAAAAATTCAGTTAAATGCTTTCACGTTATTGATTTTAAGCTTCTTTAAAAATTTGTTATTACTCTTTCCCTTTATAGCTTAATTTTCTTAACCTCCTGCAATTTCCCAGCTAATTTGAAGACCTTTGGCATATAGCCACGTCCCAACGATCTATTGAATTGTATCAATTAGTTCTGGCTTATCCACTCCCACGTAATTTCCATGTTTATTTTCTTGTAATTCCTATTCACTGCAAAACGAACTACAAATTGCAGTCGGCCAACTGCAGGGTGCGTGTGTTTTTCAGGCTAAGGAAACCCTACGCACAGGCGAAATGCCAGGGGTTCTTCTTGTTCTTCTTTTTCTTCAGCTGGGTCTGCCAGATGCACCAGCGCATATAGACACACACATATATATTGCACGCACGCAATGCACTCACGCACACAGTCAGTGTCTGCCGTGTTTTGTCTCTAACTGCATGAGTGTGCGTTTGTTTTGTGCATGTGGTCGGGGCGACACACATTGCGTATGAAGATGATGATGACGACGACGTCGTCGACGGCCGCAAGGCGGGATTTCAATGCTGTTTTGGGTTTGGGTTACGTTTCAGTTTCTGGCTATGCTTCTGGTTCTTGTTATGGGTATGGGTATGGGTATGGTTATGGTGGTGCCACTGCCATCATTGCTGTCTGCCCGCGTTCACATTATGCCAAGCAAGCAGCGCCGGAATGTATGCTAAATAGAATTTTTTGCTAGCCGCGATGATACAGTGGGACCTCTGTTAAAGGTGTGTTTTAGCATTTGCCTTGTAGTCAATTATTTTATATTTTATTGTCTGTCTAAAGGTTTTTGTTTTGAAACCTCATTAATTGGTGCCTAAAAGTATGCTGCTAGAATGGCATACCATTTACTTTTGCCAGATTAACTATAGAATAATACCAATACCCCATTATACTCTCTTTCGATTACGCTTCCTTAATATCTGCATAGCCTAATGAGTCTAGATTATGCCAGTGATACCTGTACATGGAAAATAGTATAAAAATGGGTATATGTCGCTGGCTTAGACGATGTCGATGGGTGGGTGGTCTGACCTATGACTCGATATGTGTGTGTGTGTTTGAATAGGTGTTTGGATAGTGAGTGAGTGTGTGTGTGTGTGCGCCATTCAAGGCAACGCAACGTGACACGTCAGGTGGGTTGGCGGACTGCTGGGATTGGGATAGGGATCGGAATAGGGATCGGGTTTGGAGTTTTTAGTTCGCCTTCCGTCTGCCCATCCTGTCAGTTGGCCTGTCGTCCTGTCTGTCCGTTTGTTTGCTCTAGGGTCGTCGCTGCGGTGCGGTGCCCTAAAACCTACAACCTACAACCTACAACAAACAACAACCAGCCAACCGACTGACAAACAAAAACGAAAGTGCGTTTAATCAAAGTTAGCTATTAAAGCCAAATGGCTAAACTAATTGTGAACCGCGGCAGCGGGGCGTATGATTTATTTGCATTTTGTGGGGTGAATTTTGCGTTTTTTTTCAGAGTTTTTCTGGTTTTTCATACCTTAAACCCACACTAACCGAAAAAATTGAAGCAATTAAACACGGAAACTCATTTACACACACATAGACAGACATACGCTTAACGAAATGCAAATGGCATGCGCCATGAGAGAGACAACGCATGAAAAGTGGCAAAAGAAATGGGCAAAACGGCAACAGCAACAACTGCAACAAAAAAAAAAAAAAAAAAACAGCAACAACAACCACAAAAAAAAGAAACGAAAAAATGCAATTATCGATTAATGTACCACATTATATGGCCCATGTATATGTTTGTATGTTTGTATGTGTGGAGAGGCCAGCAAGTAGATAAGCCCTTATGTACACATGGTACTTATGTACTGGCATCCGTAGGTATGCTCGGCCAGAAGTCATTAAAAAATTGTTGTTTTTTTCGTTGTTGTTGTTGTTGCTGTTTTTAATGCCCCAGCCTCGTCGGCCAGGCTCATTGAGTTTTATTCAATTCTCATCCTTAAATTTCATTTTCGGGCGGGCCGTCAAGTCGTTTATATAAGCAAATTACTGTAATGACGATACATTATGTATTGTCTCATTGTTGGAGTTGTCATTTGCATTAAAAGATGTATATACTACATAAATTTTATATATATATATAAATATGTATATGGATTTTTTCAAGCCATGAGCTGCATTTCCCCATGCCAAGAACATGACACACACAGAAGACAGAAACAACGGCAATTTGACATTTTCCAACAGTTCGCTTCGTTTCGATTTTTCAGGTTTTTGGCGTAATGCGTGCCGTAATCAAATGTCAAAAGTTAACGCCAGCCTTGGAGGCGCATACGTAATATTACGTATACGCAGCGTAATTTTTGCCCCATAAATACTGCATTAGTTGAGCCACACAAAGGTGTTGGGCACATGGCCCCGTTCACAGATAATTAGATTCTAACCGCAGGTGGATAAAGTTGGATTTGGCCTATATAATAAAGTCCTTAAAGAATTTTTATTATTTTTCTATTAGAAAAGTTTTTAATTGAGTTATGTTTGAGTTTCGAGGATATTGAAATGGTTGCAATGCAATTTGTTGATTTAAGACTTTGTTAATGATCCTTAAATTATTTATAAATGTATTTTAAATGAATTTATATTAAAAGCTGGCTTAGAATGTGGCTGGGAATTTAAATTGAAAACATTTAAATGAAACTAAGAAGAAATTATTATTCAAAGTAGACTTGAATTTTGCTTGTAGTTCCATATGCACTACAAACAATCCTTTTCGTTTTGACTTTTTTATTTTCTTCTTGCCTTTCCACATACACACACCCACCCAAAAAAACCGCCTTTTTAACTAGAAGTCCACTAAAAATTCTTTAATTAGAAATTCAACATATTGTGGTTATTTTTGTTGCCAGCGGCCGTTTGGCCAACGCGACACGCCATCGTATTTTGCATAACATTTTGAGTAATGTCTAATGTCAACGTACTCCCATCTATGTTCGTTGGGGGTGGGAAAACCAACTGGTTTTAAAGGCGGGGGAGGAAAACTCAGCCAGCTTACCAGCCAGCCGGCCGGCGTCACATGTCCTGCCGCAACAACAAATTGGTTGAAGCGGAGCAGCAAGGACA